AATATTAATTCTTAAATTGTAAGTACGTGCGAATAGAGAGAGTGATGTGCTATTTGCTTCATTCTGCTTCATTCTGCGATGCACGTTCGACTCACCGACGTCTTCTTCGCCATTAATCATGGAACTTGAGTGAAACTCCCGGCCTCGCTCGCCGGCGATTGCGCCTCCGCGACGCGGACACGACTCCGCAATTGCAGTTTTGCAGATGCACGCCACATGGATGCGCTTTTCTTCGAGCTCATACCCGCTCCTGCGACTTCTCCGGAACGAGCAAATGGAATGTATGTAACGTAAGAAAAGACGGAGCTCGACGAGCTGCGCCCCTGGAACTCGCGCGTGGTTTCGCTCGCAAAAAAAAAGAAGAAATAAAGAAAGAAAGCTCTCGTCTTCCTCGCTTGAAGCCTGAAAAAGGGTGCGCGAAGTGTCCCGTTCTTAAAAATAATGAGATGTGTGACCCGCCGTCGGTCTCGCGGGTAAACAACCCGTGAAAAAGCGTCGCCGGCGGGGAAAACGGGGAGGGTATGAGAAAAGTAGTAGAGGAATTCTGGGACACCGAAATCCTTCTCAATAAGAAGACGTGCGGGCGAGCTTTATCTGGATCTTACCCGCTAGGGCTGCCATATAGATATTTGTCGTTCAAATACATATCGGTTACCAAAGCTCTCCTTGTGTCTCTTACCCTCATTTTTCTTTTATACCAATTGCCGTGACTTGCACATCATCACGGCCGAATTCGGCTAATAGCTTCTGCATAAATCATAGGGACATTTGCGAATTCCCACGAGACATCCTCTGTTTCCATGTGCTATCTTCTGGCTCCTAATTAATGTCGCGCGGAACATCCGCATTAACGCGAGCCAATCAACGGTGTAAGTTGATTGCTAATTTTGCCGCGGCGTTCTCTTAATTCGCTTAATTGCCCCGATCAGGCCTCGGTTTGTTGCCAATATCGCCTTTACAAAAAGCACCTGAGCGACCTCATTACGGGAAACTCGTGCAAATAGAAGCTAATGATGCGGCATAGCTAATCGCCATTTAATTGCATCGCGCAAACGTCTTCTCATCATTTCCGATTAACGCTGTTGGTCGATGACGCGAGAACTTATCGCGGTTAACTATAGATTGCATCTCCGATTTCAGGGAGTCGATGTTACTTTTAATATACAAAGCCTGCACGTCTCAGAAAAAATGCAACCCGACGAAATATAGCATTATCGGCTCACTATCTACCTATACCACCGAAAGAAGTAACTTCGATCGGGACATTCAATCAGAATATTCGATATACCAATATTTGCCGTGCCGTGACAGGTAATGGATTTCTTCATTAGGATAATGGCGGAAGTCTCCGTCGGGATTATCAGCTGGAAAGTCCCGATAATAGAGCCGAGAAGGGTGTTTTAAACTGGCGTCTCGATCATTTCGCGACATCCCCTCGCGCTAAATGAATTTCGCATAAAATTTCAATCTTAATTGTTTGATTTTGTCGTCTTGCGCTTTTAACTCTGGCGATTAGATATTATTATCGATAACAACTTCTACTCGCAATTCCTTACGACTCGATCGTTTTGGGGGAAAAAAAAAGAAAGAAAGGTGCGGAATAGTGTAAACAGAATATTGCCAACACCTCCGTTTCTTTATTTCGTTATCGGAAAAGGATTTGCGGATTCAATCGGAATCGTTGCACATAGAAACGTGGGAACCGTTAAAAGACCGCGACTTCGACTCGCGCGACGGCGGCAACGGCGGCATTAACGTAACCATGGAGGTCAATGACTGCGGGAAATCGATCGAAACCCTTACCTGCACGACAGTGAGTCTGCCGTGAGGTGCACGATTGCACTGGCTCGCTCGCTCGTCGGTGCACAAATATCCACTCTGCATATTACTGTATGCAGATGCCACGTAGATGCTCTTCGGTGTCTCCTTCCGTTCTGCATTGTTAAAAACGCATTATTATTTATTTTTCGCTCTTATACAAATTAAACCCGCGAAAGTACGACATTTTTATACGCGTTCAACGTCCTATTTAAAAAAAAAAGTCGAAGTAGAAATAGACCGTCGTATAAACCGTTAGTCGTAAACTTAAACGGGGAGAGAGATCGTTTATTGTCCCGAAAGCGGGAACAAGTACCGAGAACCCCGAGAATTCAAGTCGTTTCCTCACAAACGAGGACAAATTCTCCGAGTGGTCGTCGTTTCTCATGCCGATTCGCGGTGTCCCAGTTTCGCGGAAATTCGGCGCAGGCGAGGTGCGCGTCTTGTCGAGCGTAACACGTTTCCGGCATATTTCTGTCTGCGAATCGACCGTCGAAAATTAATATGCGGCCCCGAGGAGATTGGCCTATGTAACGCGACTCCGCATAGCGCGTATAGCTATGCGCGCTTTTACGTAACAAGCCGCAATGTTACGCGTCAGAACTTACTGAAAATGTATTTTTGCGGCGTTGTCTCGGCTCATTCGCCCAGCGTGCGCCTAAAGAAAGGGACGAACACGAGAGAGAGAAAGAGATATGTTTTTCCAACGAATTTAGAATTGTTCGCAAAAATCAGAATGAAGACTCATCGTTAGCGAGTCCATGCAGGATTGTCATTCTTTTGTTCGCGCAACTTCGATGAAGAGGAGGCGCTTTTTTTATCAGACGGTCATTGCACGCCGGCGACGTCACCAACGTCCTTTTCCGCGTCAAAAACAGATTATAGATTTTGCCGCCTCCTATAAAACGCATCCCTGCGCTGCCCTGCTTATCATAGCGAAAGCCTGACGCGCTTGCCTTATTTATAGATAACGGTGGTCAACGAGCTTCGAGAATTTAAATAGCAACAAAATTTCCCTCCCATCAGTTTTACGTCAGATATTATCGGAGATTGAATCCAAAGTTCAATTTTTAGAATAGTTGAAGCACGGAGTCGCTCTCAATGGCGACTCGTCAAACAGCCCCTCGCTCAAGTTTTCACTCTGCGTGCACATGCTCCCTAACGAGTGCAACGTCCAATCACGACCCGTGTTCTTTCTGTCGCTATTACCGCTGCCTATTGCTAACTAGCGTCGTCCTCGAAACCCTCCCCGTGTCCGCGATTCATGAAACTTGATTGACAGTGGCCTCCGCTTTGATTCGACAGTCTGCAAACGAGCTGCGCTTTCGAGAGAATCATGGAGATGGGCATGGAGATGTGCAATTCCAATTAGGCGGATATTTGACGGAATCCATTTAATCGTCTTGCTAAATCAACCAGCACCGGCGTATTCAAAGCCAATATTGCTTTTCAAATAATTACGAGGCTTTATTAGAAAATTAATCTATCACGCTTTTTTATTCTCGAGATATTTCACGCTGAAACTATTCCATAAATTTTCATCTGTGGTCGTAATGAAAAAGATATTTATCTCTGGATAAAATTAGTTATAATTGATTCTTTTATGGAAAACTGTAGCAAATAAAATTTAATACAAACCTACAGTTTGCAGATGTTTATAATTGAAATTCTTACTTACTATTTTTAATTGAAATTGGTATTGGCCTCTATTATTTTTAGTCAAAAATGAACTCAGTTCATTTACCATTGTTAATTTCTATATAATGCAATCGGCATTCTACGTTCTCATCTTTTGCATTTAATCGTCAGGATTCTTTTTGAAATGCATTAAGAACTTTAGAGAAGAGAATCAGAATTCCATCAGTTACATCGAAATTCTAAGAACTGCCAACTTTACTGGGCATACTAAATCCCCATTTAACTGCCATTACATTTTCGCGTAGAAATTTTCGTCGCAGAGCCAAGAGCATCAACGTCTCTTCCCAAGAAAGAACCTAATAAGAACAAAGAGAAAGAGAGGAATCCTTTCACGCGTCACTGGCCGCGCAACCGGTGATTCGCGACAAATGCGATTTCTAGAGCGAGCGGCGCAGATGCACGTGATCTCGTTATATAAAATCAAGCGTGCGATCTCTTCGGATCGACGGAGCGCCGGTGTCACGGGGATTAACCCGGCCGTTTCGTTGCGCATTACCCTCTTTGCCGGGTCGGCTGCAGCCTGAGAACAGCTTTAGGATGTGACGTGTCCCACCCGGGGGAGAAATGAGTTATACTCGCGACGGTCCTCTGGGTATCACCCCCGCGATCTCGGTTATGACCCGCGACCGCGATTACATCGCGCGTGCGTACGCGAGCGTAGAAAAGAGCACAGGAGATCACCGGATGTAGATCGATTCAGCTAGCAATCTGAAACGCAGTCATGGCACCGACCGACCGACCGACCGGCCAACCAACCGACCGACTGGAGCTCTGACCCATTTCCTTGGGTTACATCGCCCGGCAGATAAATTTTTGCTATCCGTCCGTCTGTCCTCGTTGTTTTCCGTTGCGACCTAGCAACCCTTCCGGCACCCTGACCTATGACCCACATTCGACGCGTCCTCGTTCGGCCCGGTTTCTCCCGCTCCGTTCACCCCCACCGTGAAAGGACGTCGCGGCTATCAGCTGTTTCCGAATACGCAGATTCGCTATACGCATTCCTTCTTTAGAAATCGATTCCGCCTTATGACGCGTCATCCCTTGAAAGTTCAATGAAAGCGTTCACCTTATCAGAGATCTTGTTCGGCGAGTTGTTCGGTTCACTTAACGAGGTTCCGTCTAATAAGCTTTCTAGCACAAATTTAATTCCGTATTTCTCGTCATTTTTAACGACGATTTTTTGACATGAAAGTTACGTAAACCGCTGACCCGAGCTTTAGACTCTTGCAGACAGATTTTGCTGTTGCCAAGAAACTGGCGTTGCCCGCATTCCTCGGCTGGGTTGCAGTAACTCGTTCCGTTTTTCTAGACTGCTGACCGGAGTTGTAGACAGTGAAAGACGATTTAGTCAGCACGTAACTCGGTCGACTAAAACCAGTTTCTTTTAATTGAATCCGCCGCGTCTCGCGAGTATGTATAACGATTGTATATCCGAGGAAAAGCGGTTGATAATCGCGCGACACATGCCTCTGCTTCTCTTGCAGGTATGATCACTCTGGTCGACGGTGTACCGGTTTTCGCGGACCCTCTTAAGGAGTGGAAGATAATAGTGACACATTACGGTGGACTAGCTGGTCTCGCTCTGATCGGACTCATCCTGGCAGCTATTCTCCCCTGTGCGGGTCTCTTTTTCTGCTGCTGCAGATGCGCGGGGCATTGCGGCGCCCGCAGCCAGCCCTTCGACAAAAAGCACGATCACTGCAGGAAGATTATGCTCAGCATCGTGTTGATCGGGGTCGCCACTATTATTCTGTAAGTGCCATTTTTTTCGGAGAAAGCACACCGAAAGAAACGTCGCCAGAGTATAATTCAGAATACTCGCGTTAAGCCTTTCACATCTGTGTCCCAACGTTTGAGAAATTATGTCTCTGATAAATATTATATTATTAAGGTCAAACGGGACTGGTTTTAAGACTCATTTGCTTAAACTAAAAAATATTACGATAATAACGTTATGAAATATAAAAAATTACTTGCGTAGTGAGATCCGCGAAAGTTCTCAAATTAACGATGAAACATTTAATTAATACGCAGCGTTATTATTTTTATGTAATAATTACTTAAATATATATAATTTTTACTTAAATTATTTATCTTTTTTATAACGTTTATACTACGTACGAGGTAAAAAGTAAAGCTCTCGAGTCTTGATAATAGAAGAGTATAATAGTGTTATTGATCGGTATTAAATTGTATCTAGATTTTGCAATTTTGTTTTATTAGTACAAGCTATTATGTTAGTACAAGCTTTGGATACATAAAATTTCTTGCATTCACCATACAGGATGTGCGATTTTAGATTTTTTATATTTTGATATTTTTTATTGAGCAGTCTCAAAAATCTTGTAATATACAACTTATCGGAACAATTTGAAAGTACTTTCTCTTTTGCATCTACTATTGTTGAATTTTTATATGTTTTGATTCTGATTTCTGAAAAATCTTTAAAGATAATTAAACTATATAACAAAGTTAGACGTAAAATAATTAATTTAATTTAACATTGAATTTCGTTCAATCACTTCATAAATTATACAACGGTAAAAATAGAACAAAAATAAATAAAACATACTCCTTGTGATATTTTATAATCGATACATGTCATTGTATGATTCTTCGAAACTCGGAAATTCCTGAAATCCACTTGCTCCCTCTCACTTGAAATACTAATGAATATATCAATAAATTATGCGTTGCACGGCTTTGCTGCGATAATTAACTTGCCCCTCTCCTCGACATTTAATCGTTCCAAGCGCAATTTAATCCGCTTTCGTAAAATACAATATTAATATTCGAGACATCAAATATGTTTGACGGCAGCCTCGTATAAAATGCGATAATGGAATTCTATTTCCGTGTATCGCCCCGTCGCTCTAATAAAACATAGAAAACGCGGTTAATTAACTGCAGATTCGGCGTGGTGTGCGCCTTCGTGACGAACGAGTACATGCAGGAGGGAACCAAAGAGCTTCCGTGTAAAGCCAAGACTAGCCTGAAGGACGTCAAGCTCTATTTGACTACCACGAAGCAGGAGATCGACAATTTGCTCAAGACCAATCCCGAGGAGCTGGAAGTTACGCTCAACAATATCCTGCAGGCCAGCGGCAAAATTGTTACCGAGCAACTGGCGGAATACTCGCACGCTGTCTCCCTGACGAATCTAAACGACATCGTTGCCGGCTTGGAGTCGATCAGGGAGGATCTGAGATTGATGAATAAGATAACGCAGGAATTGCGGATAAACGCCAGTCAATTGGACATTGGTACGCAGCCCGTTTTTCCAAACTCTAAATTATTTATCGAAATTGCAAACTCAATCAACTTTGTTTCTTCTTCCTTGCGGAGAATGAGAAAGAGAATTGTGCAGAGTAAACTGTGAAAAATTAAGTTACATTTTCCACGTTTGAAGCAAATTTATATAAAATTTAGAACATTTAAGATATCTTATATAAAATGTATATTTTTTATTTGATTATTCTATCGATCTCTATGAATATCATCATGATCATTGAATATTTTTAAAAAAGCAAAAAACACAAGTTCTTAAAAATTACGAATTTAAACTAAAAGTTTGCTCAAATTTTATACGTTAATAAAAATTATATAGATATGAATTAATTATTTTATATAAAATTTTTAATGTACAGATAAATATAATTTTCCAATAAAACAAACGTATTCATATATTAATGTAATATAAACATAGTGATTGCTGCTCGATTTAATTAAAATTTTACTGAAGCAAATTTACATTTTAGAGCAGTGTGTAAATTTTTTCATTAAATTGTTACATATGCTACTGTATGACAACGTAATTAACCGCTCAATAATTGAATAAATGCTCAAAAAAATATCAAATATATTAACGTAGCTTTTTTATATTTTTTTTAAATATACACATATATACTGTGTTAAGTAAATAAATGAGCTTTTTGTAACAAACCATTTTATCAACGAATAGTCTTAAAAACAAAATTTGCTCCTTCAGTCGTTCGTGGCGTCAAGAAAAACCTTCTTCACACGCTGGCTGCGTGTACGACTGACAAGTGCCAACGGGTTCTGCACGACTACAAAGTGAATCAGATGTCGGTACAGGTGGACTTCGATAAGGTAAGCAGACAAGTTGTTTCTTATCGTAGATACTACTTTAGCTAATTACCTATGGTTAATTACGAGCATTTTCCTTGTTTACACGCAGTACATGGACCGTTACTTCCCAAAGGTATGATTTTACAATGAAAGAAACCTTTTTGCAATGCAATAAAATGTAATAAAAATGCCTTCGGACCTCGATATATAAAACAATTTATTTGACAAAGAAACGAAATATTTTTTTTCAGTAGTCTCGGCATTGCGTTCGCTATCCTCAAACAAATGTTATCTCGAGGTCTAAGAGCATTGAAAGCAGTGATTTTTAAATGTATTGAAACGGTAGATTTGTACAAGGCTTGCCTTGGCTTTCGTTTGCTCATAATAAGGCTTCTTAAAAAATAAAGTCACTAATGTCACGAATCTTACTGTGAAGTGATCAGATCGAATAAGAATTCTTTGCCACAACACTTTTATATTGATAGTATTAAATATTTGGACTAATTAAATTACTAAAGAGTTAAAATATAATGCATGGCACATCGGTGCGAGTATAATTCGTAAATTCGGATACATTTTAACATATAGATCTATTTTGTAGACCAGTGCAATTATTGCTTACTGTAATTTATTGCAAAATATCGTCATTAATATCGAGTATTAGTTACGGAATAGTAGTTATTGATATATCGCGTGATCATTAGTGTACGAGGGAGAAATACTGCATAAATTTATTTGATTCCATGCTTGCCACAAATAGCTTCTAGTAAGTTGTAAGCAGTAGCATGCAGTTTCCTTACTCATATCTATATCGTTTTATATATGAATATATTTATTTGCGTTATTCGATTAATTTTGCAAAGTAATTTGCACGAGTAGAGATATTTGCTGAATGTGTACGTTAGATTTCTTAATAAGTACGTTAAATTTCTTTCTGAGAGCACATTATTTATTATTTGCACTTCTGTGTCGAGTATAAGCGTGAAAACTGTTAAATAATTTTATGTTGTTACGTAAAACAATGATTAGACAGAATGTATTTTATATGCAGTGTCCTACTTTTTGCGCACATTATTTTCTAACGACATAATTTCCTTGGTCAATATGATAATTTTTCCTTAGCGAAAATATTGAGTCATCGGTCACTTTTGAGTTACGAGCGATTAAAAAAGAAAATCTTTTTGCGTCCTAGATTTCCGGGAGCCGAATAAATTACAAAACTACGTTCCTCAGTTGCTCTCATATGGATTCACCATGATATAATTCCAACCAAGAGTCTAACCGTAAAGATATTTAATGCTAAATATTGAAAAGCTGTGATAAATGAGGATCTTCCATAATGTAATTTTTTTATGAAAAAATTACACGAGTAATGTGACGTCAAAAAAGATAATGCGCGAGAAGTGGGACATCGTGTATACATGAAAGAAGGACGATTGTAAAGTACAAGAGTCTAGCAGTATGAAAATATGTTCATGTAGTCTTTTTATCTTTTACTTCTTTACACTAAGGTATATCCTCGGATTGCGGTCATATTCTTTTTTTTACATTATTTATATTTCAAAACGTTAAAGTATACATGCAACGTATACATATACGTATCCCTTTCATTTATATCCCCCGTGCATTCGCGTGTCCCGCAGAATTAGATTCTGTGAAATTCCGAGAATTTTATGTCTTCCGGCTTGTCTCGTAGCTTTGTAGATCGCATTCAGCACGAAATATTCAGATCCAACAAGAAGACTTTTAATCTGTTCTATGTGTGGTGAATCTTATTACCGCACATTTTATTAATACCAATTGAAAGCATGCCGTGGTACTTTTCAGCTGCCGGACGTTACATTCGCGTTACATAACATCACCGTGCTCATGGAGAGTAATATAGTGTCGGAAGTGAGCCAGGGCAGGGATTCGTTTCTGAAGATTCAGAAGGATATACAGCACGCCGTTAATCAGACGATCCCGGTGGTCAGCGCGAGTATCCGGCGAGCCTGTAACTTCCTGGCGAACATCGCCAATAATATGACTGCCCTCATCGACAGGATAAATGTCGACATAGATAAAGTTTATATGCGGCATTTAGAAGTTGCCCAGAACAATATAAATCAGTATTCGCCCTACAGGTTCGAATTTACTTGAGATAGATGTGCATTGTGTGGCATAGAATTTATAGCAGACGTATAAAATTTATAATGATTCTCAAATACACTTGGTTCGTTTTAGATACTATCTTGGTCTTGGTATATCCGGTATTCTTCTGACTGTATTAATGTGTTTGACGTGTGGTCTTCTCTGCGGTATTTGCGGAAAGCGTCCGGACGGATACGGAGATGATTGCTGTAATAAGGGATCAGGTGCAAGGTTTCTTATGATGTAGGTTGCACAAGTTATCGGAGTAAATTCGATTGCTATTGCTGTTCTCTATTTTTTTTGTAACCACAATGTTACAAAATATTTTAAATCGCAGGGCTGTGTGGATTATCTTTCTTTTAACGAGCGTTCTGATGGTTATAACCGTTGTTCATATGATAACCGGCGTTATGGCTCAACGTGGTATCTGCGAGCCTTTAAAGAATCCGAAGGACAACAGGATGTTCGAGCTGGTCGACGACCTCGTGCAGATCAAGAGATTGCTCTATCCGAAAAATCCTAATGCGCACATTAACATGAGCTACATTGTAACGTAAGTACATACGTGTGAAAAATCAGGCTCTATTATCAGTTACGTAATAAGTGCCACGTAAAATAATTTTAAGAGAATAGAACTGTCTTGCATGCATTGAATAAGAAAGAAAAAAAAACAAGTTTTATCGATGTGTGACTTTCGATTTCTTTCTGTTACAGCAAATGCCACCACAATGAGACGCTTTACAACGTGTTGAATCTGAAAAATGTGTTTGACGTTGAGACGCTGCGCGATTACAGTGGGCGTTACGACATCAATGACACCATCCAACAGCTGCGCCGCAAGATCAGCCTCTCTCCCGGTGTGGTGATCCTGAAGGACAGCGCGAGATCCAAGTTGAATGATCTAGCGCAGAGCGGTCTCAGCGACATCAAGTTCTATCAGTACGCCGAGCTGCTCGCCGAGAACATCACGAATATTAACTTGGAACATCTTGCCAAACAGTTGCGGGAGGTTTCCGCTAAATTGCCGGAGGGACAAGAGGAAATCAGGCTCAGTTTAGAGAAGAATGCGCATGACTTGGAACATTATCACAGAGACTTGGTCATGCCCATGGCCATGCTCAGCGAGCAATTGAGCGCAAACGCGCTGGCGCTTCAGGAGAACATTAAGTTCAATCATAGCTCGATGGCGGACGCCATTCACGATTTAGTGGATGAAGTTACCAAGGCGCAGCAGTTCCTAAATAAGGACGGGCCGGAATACGTTCAATACGTACGTCTAATTTCTTTTAAAGATATTTTTGCGATATTTAATACGTGTTACATTAATGTTATTTATGTTAACTTAAAATATAATGTTATCGTTGATAGCTCGCTACTAAATTTGGCAATGCATTCCTGCATCAAGTGGACAATTTCCTCGAGCACGTCATTGAATCTGCAATGTTCAAGATTGGAAGATGTGCTCCCGTGTCGAATGCTTATAATGCAACGCTCGTGGCAGGATGCAACAGGATCTTGGATCCATTCGTGAGTATTGTATTCACTTATGCTGTACGCATTCGTAAATCCACGCGTATCTATCAGACTGTGCACTAACGTGTTTATTATGGTCTTTCTATAAATTCCATTAAATTTTTCAACCTTTAGAAGTCTCATAGTTGACACGTAAATTTGTCGCGCCGGGCGATAACTAAAGTATTGTGGAAGCAACGCGTTGCAAAATTAAGCAGATGTCGCTCAGAATTAATATTCATGATTCTATTTGCATTTATATATAGAACGGCTTCTGGGCGAGCGTCGGTTGGTGCTTGGTCCTATTCATACCAACGATAGTGCTCTGTGTGAAGCTGAGCGCTCTGTATCAAAAGTCGGATCCATATCCGGGGCCTCTTGTCGAAGCGTAAGTTTTCACTTTTTTCCTGTAGCTGATATAACAATTTACGACTGCGACCTAAGAGACGTCTCTCTAATTGTTTTTGACTCCTCATCCAATCTATGGTGCATGACGATATTTCAGATACTAATGTGTCTTTAGTAGATCCATTGTCAATCGAGATCGTGCATTTAAACACGAGTATTTTACCGTACCGTTGATTAACGTCCCAGGTGTCGATTACGAACCCGAAAGAAATAAAATATAAGAGATGATGAGACGCATTATACGTTAAACTTCGGAGGCGATAAGGCTTTTTTTCCTTTCTTTTCTCTGCGAGCCTCAACGTACAACGAATCCCTGAGCACCACTTATGTAGAAACTGTTAATTCTTTTATTTCCGTCTCGTAGTTACTCTCGAGCTTCCATATATCCATGGCATGTACTTATTCGCGCTTTGTAACATTCTTGATATCGGCATGTCCTCGTTCTCTTTCATTTACAAAAAGTTTCTTCGAGCTCGGAAATTCTGAAAGGATTTCCAGGTTCGAAATTGTTCCCTCGATCTCAGAAACTTATTGTCTGTCTCAAAGCAGAGATAATTGCCTAAGATATGCCCTGTGTTTAGTTTGAATTTTCTTACACAATGGATTAATTAACAATACTTATTTGCAGTCAATGAGGATGATTTTGTACTATGAAAAGTAATCAATACTGTTTCAATTAAGTTACTTGCGCTATTTCGATGTTTAAAAAAATGCCCCAATTACAATTCTCTAGCTGCGGGTCACAGCGAGAGGTTGTGGAAAATTCGTTTTTATTTAGATCGGTCGGTCGCGGTCCATCGCGGTAGCTTAGATTATGTTTAAAGTTGCTGTCTAATGTGTGGAATGGTTGTTGGAATCTAACCGCTAACACGCTCCGTTACAGTGAATATTTGTATGACGCGTACGCAGACAGGGATAACATACCCCTCGCTCAGTAAGTATACCACGACAAAGCCAAAGTGCGCTCGCATGTCCCACATATCCCGAGATATATGCATGTATATAAAACTTGTCATCGGAACTCTCTATGCGATATAAGTTGTTCGAAGCGACACAATGTTTCCTGTATCCCGTTTTTCACTCCACTAGCCGTACAGTGGTTCATTTTCTGATAATTAAGAATATTTGAAATATATTTCTTCTCTTCTCTCATCTCTTCTTTTCCTCTTAATCGTCGGAGAACAAAGAAAATGAACCACCACAATAGCACTCAGATAGTACTTTTGATATTTGTTAATTGTTTTTACACAAATACTTGAGTGACATACATAAATGGATACTTTGTTGTTGTATTTTCTTTGTTATAAATAATACAATTAAATTTTTATTTGAATTAAAATGAGATGCCTGTTTTCAAGAATGGCCTATTTTTAACATTGTTCCTTTTCATCTCAAAACACCAACACGACAGCGTGATTATATATCTTTTCCTAATAGAGAAATACGAAGGCATAAATGTGTTATAATCGAGTAACTGTTTGAATAGACAAGGTATATAAACATTTACACAGTTGAGTAAAGAAAGTAAAAGTATGACGTGAAGTTTTTGCAATGTCATCCGTGTATATACGTCGCGCTTCTTATTTGAAGAAAGAAGAACATACATGGTGAACAATGAGGAATCTATGTTACTCCAGTGTATGTCGAATATGTCTTTTGCCAATATCTTAATTTTTACACGACTGCATGTAACACGCATTCCCTTACGAAAATCCTAACTCTTTCTCTGCCCGATGTGTAAGTACGATACGTTGCGTGTCGAATTTCGTTAAACATTCTGAGATTTATTTTCTGCTTATTCCACCACACTTCTATCGCTAACGTAGCATTTATATTTTCTGCTTAGGCGCTTCGCTAGGAGGAACATACGTGTGCGGATATATAGATTGCGGCTTTTAGATTAAGCGTACAGCACCGGCTACAATCGTCTGGGAAGTGTTTCTTCGACCGTAGAAACTGTATACCGAGCTCGCATAGTGATTAGATACATATGGAGAGTATGAGTCTTCCCATCAAATCTTCAATTAACAGAGTAAATCGAAGCGAATCGAAGTGAGTCAGCGCATATATAGGTCCCCGATCTAAAATCCGATCCAATATATGTCTCGTCCCGTCTCATTCAACCCCGCGTCAACTTAATTCCATCGTGCCGATCCACGTCATCCAAAACGACAACCTACGATGACACTGCAATCTGCTGAGAGCGTCGAGGAGCAATTTATCATTCTGCGAGCTCGCGCGCAGTTCCGCTGTTAATACGCTACCCGGAGAAGCGTTTCCCAAAGGGCGTTGCTCGCGTAAATGAAGGAACGCGAACACAGATCGCGCAAATCTTCGAGTCGAATTTCAGGAGAGAAGGGTTTTTCCGACTAAAGAATCAAAGAAGGTTTGGGAAACGCTGAACCGGAGGTTCCTAACAGATACACCGCGCGGCTTATTAGCGTACGACACGCACCTCGTCGTCTCTAACTCGCATGACGAGCTTATTTTGATATTAGGGCTGGTCTCAAGGAAACGTCTTGATTGCAGCGTCCACGACAAGAAGCACGTCTCCCACGGCAGGCATCACCCCGCGGCGTACGTCGAGAGCTACGACGGGCCGGCGGTAGGGTACGGCGAGCGCGAGAGGATCCCCGACGCCCACCAGAGCACGTCGCACCACGAATCGAGATACTCCGACCTGGCGCCCAAGTAAGTGGAGCCGTCTCGTCCACGGGGCAACGATCATTACCGACCACTATCCCAGGAGATGAGTTTTCCCTCCTCGCAGTCACCGCATCACATCGCACGCATCTCGATAAGGGACGTAGCGCTGAGTTGAATGATACGTTATCAACGCGTTGTATCGCGTTTTAACGTGACATCGTGTCGACGTTACGTTCTTTCGTTCCTATCTCTTTCTTCCTCTCTTCCCTCCTCTCTTTCTCTCATTGTCTCTCGCCGTTTCATCGGTCACGTCTTATCTCTTTACAGTTTCACCCTATCGTGGCGAAACCACGAACATACCGCCCCTACAAAAACAGAACCTCACAGTAAAGTCTTTAGCCTATCACTAGAGTCGCAGTAAGTCCCTAACGGCGCCGACAAGCGTAAAGCCAGCTTCCTGTGATACGTAAACGCTTTCACCTTGTTTGAGTATATAACCGACACTTGTATCTGGCGGTCAGTATGATCTCCTTTCGTGATTCTCTCTCTTTCTCTCTCTCTCTTTCTCTCGCCCGAGCAGGGTTCCCACTCGCCGAGTGATCTCATGTTATTTCCGTAGGCCTAAATCCTCGGGGACGGCCGACGTCGTTCCGCCGCGGGTTTCAGAAGAGCGAATCTCACGAGCGGGGTAGTGCAAGACTCTCCGGACCCCTCTGAGATCGCGGAACGGCGACGTCGGCCGTTCCGATCCCTTCCGCGCGGCTTCACGCGATCTTTGACTTGTATTAGCACCATGTTGACGCATCTCATGCAACCCCGATGGTCACGATTTTTCTCCCGGTTCTTTCCAGGTGAGTGGGAACCCTGCGGGGGGCTCGGCCTCTCGCGTCTCTCGATACGCCTCTGCACGTAAGTCGCAAAGACTATTGTTTTACACAAATGTTTCTTCTTCTGCGTTCGTGCTCGTTCGATCTATTTCTTTTTCTCTTTCTTTTCCTGATTTCTCTTTTTTTCAACTGGTCATGTCACGAGAATAGCTTTTGCAAGAGAGCCAGGCTTTTCGCAAGAAAACGGTCTGCGACAGGATCCGAATGATCGTTCAGTTTCCTCCCCACTCTCGTGGAGGCGTTCTTTTGACTGGAATTTAGTATTTTCAATATAAGAACCGTCATTAGATGAACTCCCGCCTCAAGTAACGTCTCTTCCGTGATGTTGATTTCGCTTGAAGGTACCTTGCAACTTGCCGCGGGGAAGCATGTCTGTCTCGACGGGAATATACTTTGCAACTGTAATCGGGACATTTCAGTCGGATTACGATATATTACTTTCATTTCGCTTAAGCGGCTGCTGTATCGTATATTAGTTCGCTAAGGCATTTTACTGTGGCAAGGACGCGATCAGCGTTAAGTCCTTTCCCTGTCCAAACCAGAATAGGCGCCTTTGTGCCGACGCTGGTGGGTGGCGGAAAGGACTAAACGGGATCAGTAAAACGCTAGGAAATGCAAAATGCTACATAAACTTACACGACTGAACTTGAGCGTTATGCCACCGGGTGTTAATCACCGATATCGCTGTGTGCTGTTCTTACAGAAATTGGGACTTCCCCAACGGTGGTCCGCCAAGGTATCAACCAGCTGCCGGGGCTCCGCCTCCTTTAAGCACTGAATACGAACGACCGCCGCCCTATTACTATCCTGGGCCGGGGTAAGTATTTCCTCTGCATGTCGGCAATACTTGCTCGAAAGCCAAAATTTGGACACTTTCGGACAAGTGGCCGTCTCGCTCTTCATTGTCACGAATTGCAAGAGAAAGGAACGATCTCCGTCTGTTTCAGGGATAGAAATTAGGAAACAAGTGCCGTGGCATGCACAAAAGCAGCGCTGAACAGTGTGGCGACGCACAGCCTCACGCGCAGTTACAAGCGAACGCTCAAGAAGAGAGAGAAATCCGGATGTAAGAGGGACTACGTATAATACTTCGTTTTTATTCCCGAGCGTGCCACGGATTGTGCTAACACCGAGACCAAGTTTAATACAGACTGAAATAGGCCAATGATCCTTTCCGCGACGTTTCCTCCTTCTGTGGGGCGCAAGTAACGGGTAACCGACGTAAATGCGACGCAAATTCCTCTTTCCGTTTAAGCGTCGCTTAAGAATTAATACTCATGCGCTTCCGTACCGCGGAAGGAGCACCATTCTCGATTAAAATGCAGACTCTGGGGAATGCGAGGTCTCGCCGTTTCTCCCTTTCAACGTAAAGATAATGCCCGGAGTATCAAGATACACATACGTTTTACGTAAGTCAGAGTAACCGTATAGAACCATATAGAACAAAAGGTCGATCGAGCACGAGATGGAGTCAAAAGAGAAGAGAATCAGAAGATGATGAAAAGAATTCCCTTTCATTTAAACGATACGTAAAGACTGTGCGCGATGAAGAACCTACGTATTTCTACCGCGATCGAGTTATTTAGCACAAATTATTAATGCTGCCAATCCAGCGCCAATCGTTTTCCGTGTGAGGAGGCCTCCTCTACCTCGATACCGGACTGCCGATCCAGCACTTTGGGCCACCAAGCAACGCCATATGAAAATGCCAAACGACACTCACGTGCGACTTGCACTCGAAGGCACGCATCGTTGTTGTGCCACGAGTGTCGCGTGGTTCATCACTTCGGATCTCGCTCGTCTTTATGGTTGAGGAGGGAAATATATTATGATATTAAATTCTTGTATTCCGCCGGGTGCCGATTTTCTGTCTCGTGGCGGAAGGAGAGAGAGAGAGAGAGAGAAAGAGAAAGAAAGAGAATTTTCGAGCGGCGCGTGCGACCGCTCTATTATAAATACTCTGTGTACATGGATTTTTAAGTAGCCGTTTTCTTATTACTCTATCTTACTGTGTAACTTTCTATCGATATAAACCGAGGCGATTCTTACGTCGTGTAGATCGCGCCTGTATGATTCGCTTAATCGGATCTACGCGCTGTACGGATTCTTCGATCTATGTATTATTGCAGCATCCGTTGTCCCTCTCTCATTCGAGTACAGTAATTCGTCGGGCACGCAAATGCAGATGTTTTATGCACGTTGATTTAACTTTTATATAACGAATCTAAGGATCTACATGGTGCATCATCGTTGTAGGTGAACCAGCCAAGGATTAGTCGAATCATAGTTTTTGCTCATCTAATTGATATTACATCTCTAACATCGCTAATTCTTAATGACATGTATCACGTAGATCCGTCACGTCCGCTGAATCTGGAAACTTTTAGGATCAAGAAAATTATGGAAAGAAATTTTAACATATAAATCATTTGTATCATTTCCGAGGAAAAAAAAAAGAAGAATTCCGAGAAATCAATCTGCTTATTTAAAGGACTTGTCATTTAATGTCAATTTGCATTCGACATTACTGCCAAAAAAAAGAATTATAATAAGCGTTGCACAAACCCACATAGCAATTTCGAGAGATTTTGTACCTCATGACGTACCGAGGATGCCTATTGTCCGTTTATAAGATATTCAACAATGAATACCCTTAGGATGTAATTACGAAATTCGATCCCAACAATATCGACTGAATGTTTCTAAATATCTAATGTTATATGGGATATTCTTAAATAATCCTACGGATGATTTTTTTAGTTTGGCTCGAAATGGGATCAAATCAGATAATCCTACGGAGATTTATTTGCTATGTGGGAAATTGTTACTGTAACTGGAAGACAAGGGATATTATGAAGGATGTTGCGGAGTAATGAGTAGGAACGGACCGACACCGAGACGCTCTGGCAATTGCTCTCGCACGTGTACAGAGCGAAAGGTGATATTGATATTCAACTTGGCTGAATTCTCGTTTACATCCTGATCCTTATACTTATTGTGCGAATGAATGAAACGCGACGTTTGTGTGACGTAAAGTTCTTTCTCGAGTGCGTGTAGCGTCGAAAGTTCGCCGAGGTCAGTTTTAATTCTCGGTACAGCATTCTCAGCGATTTGAGATTTGAGAGCAGAGATTTGTGAGAGGTATTAAAGGCAAAACTCACGTTCTGTAATCTCCCTGATGGAAAACGCGTCTTTGTGATAAAGTCCTCTCGAGTTTCGTTGAAGTTTCCACGCACACCGAGTGAGTTTCCTTTTAACGCCTCTTGTTACACGATAAGATACGCCGACCGTGCTGGGAAGCGCCGAGCCTGATCGGGTGCTGGCAATCGGAATTGCCAAAAAGTCAGTCACTCCTTTCCTTCGTGTATCGTATTGAGATGCGGTGTGAATGGGAGCACGAAATCTCTAGGATATTAATGAGAACGCGCGTGCGAGAAGTGCGAATACCTGTGTGCGTGTGTACATGTGATGAGTGAGAGAGAGAGAATTTGTCGCAATTTATAGCGAAGTAAAATTTTGCAAAAGTCCCCCCGCTGTATCATTACCGTATCTATACCAGTAGCGTAATCTTATTGAATCTACGTCTTAGTCTATCGACACGATGTACGTATGCGTCACGCGATTCGGAGGAACAATGATGTTGTTTAAATTAATGGAATGTAATAATCGAATAATAATGTATGGATTTCGCTGAAGATCTTATGCACGATAGTCTCGAGCATTAAGAAGACGAGCATTAAAACGCGTTTCGGAGAACGAGTGCTGTCAATCAGAGCACGAGATATCCCAGAGAGAAAAATCTGTAGTGTATCGCGCCTGAAATTCTGCCGAAAAAGAAAAATAAAAACACTGAAATTCCTTGATGCTATTTTTATAATGATAATAATGACGGTGTAGTGATGACTCTTATCGGGCACTCTTTCTCCACGTTCGCGAATGCGTCGAGTAAACGCGATGTAGAGCGCTATCGAAAAGAAACGTTTTCCTTTATCTCACCTTTTCTGAAAGAGTTGTTTGAAATCGACGGAGTCGGATTGGAGAGACGACGTAGAAACAGATTCTTCGGTGTACAAAACACTGTATTCTACATTTACGGACACAAATTATTCGACTTGAAAAGTCATATGTTGTTTATAATCACTTTATTCACAGTCTTTCAACAATTGTTCAGATTTCTTTTCAGCTTAACACGTACCCATGCATAATCGAACGACTTGATAGATTTGTCTACCCAGTCCGATTCGAGGGATTGATAAAAGAATTTGTGCTTTTTTTCATTGCCTGTCATGACATTGTTACATTGAATGTTTAAATGTTTAGAGTATTTACTCCTGTCTGCTCAATTTTCCAGGATGCTAAACACTAGTATCCCCCTTTCTTCCTTCTTTTGCAATCTCCTTTTTTTAATGCTAAATCTATAGCAGCCATTCCATCAGGAATATTTGTGATAAACTGTGACCTGTGTATAGACGCAAGTTATCGATGCGCGTTAAGATACTCGCAGTTTTTCAGAAATAATTCGCGTTTTAAGGGTCGTTTGAAGATGGAAGCGTATGAGAAATATTGCCATTGACTATGGTGTTTTTTATAATTCACCGATTGTGTTTGTTAAAATTAATTATTATTACTATTATATTATTGATATTATATTAAAAACATGAGTGTACTACAGTTTAAATATATCTATTTTATATTAAATCGATAATGAGGTGTTATTTTTAATACATATATTACAAATTGTTTTATCAAACAAGTTTTATTAAACAAGATGTACAAGAATTCATTGTACATTACTGTGGAGATGGAACATAATTTCTCGTTATAACACGCTACTATTTTATAAAAGGTATTTTTCTGGACGGAATTGATAACGATGTCCACGAACTTCGATAATATTAGCAGTTTACTCTGTTATCCTTTCCCCACTTGCGCATAACACGTATTATCTGCTCCACTTGAGAATTGGATGTATTTTTCAGAATTTGTATCACTTCCGACAGCAGTTCTCTGTACGCGATGAAAAAGATAATTTACAAATTAATTCTCGATTATACGGTGATATCTCACAAATGTGCGATATGCAAAACATACTTTGGTAGCTTTTCCGCGACGATGTACTGAAAAGTACCACAGCACGCGCCGCGCTTTCCTTCCCAATGTTCAGGGCTTGGATCCATACGTTCCAGCATATCGAAGGCTTTGGCGGCATACCAGAATTCGCCTACTTTGTAACAGGTATTGGCAATCAGCTGAAGCAGATTGAAGGATTCTGCCGATGTGTCCATCTTCAAATACAGTTCCCAGGCCAATTCAGCTTTTTTATTCATTATATCTGAGAATAGAAAAAGCAATTGTTAAATAATTACTAAATAATGTATTTGGCACAAGGTTACAACAAAATATGCAACTACTTACAGCAGTATGAAAGGAGACTGATGTAAATGTAATCGTTTTTGTATTTTTCGTTACGTATCATCAGAAAAGCTTCCTCCGCTTCCTTGAAGTAGCCCGCTCCGGCTTGCGCTTGAGCGTAGTTAAAGTTAAAGTTATCCTGATTGGAGAAATATGTCTTTATCGAATTCAGGTATAGTCTGACTCGATCGAATTGTCGGTAAAGGAAGAAGAAGGATGCCATGCACTGTCTACCGGGTATGGTATCGCATTCCGACGCTGAGGAGCCCACCAGTTGAAAGTATTGCTGTGCAGTTTTTATACTGTCGCGCTAAAGAAATTTTCGTGGTAAGCTTTCACAACGCAATTACGCAAAGATGATTTAGCATTGGCTTAACGAAACGTACAGAATTGGTCTCCTGGCCTATAACGGCGTTAACTATGCCCTTTAAAATATACTCTTGCGGAACTGCTGGTTCCAGATCTTTGATCAGGTCATAGGCTGCCTTGACGTCGTCTTGTTTCAAATAGTATATTACTAAGTTAAGCCTGGCTTCCGGTATGACGTCCACCAAGTTGGGTAAAATTTGCAAAGCGTTCTCGCCACCTCTAAAGACCTGTGTGAAGAGCGAATAAGAAACATATGAGAAGTAAAACATATCGGAAGAAGTTCACACGTACAACTGTGTTATGCCGTATAAGATCGTGGCCGGAGCTGAAGGAACTCGATATCTTCTCGATGAGCTGCTTCATCTCGACCTGCGCAGCGTTTCCGTCGTACAAACGGAAATGATTGCACGCTTTCAAGTTAATCGCGATCGCGCTATCCGGGTATTTCTGCAGGTAAACTTGAAGCACTTCTTGAGCAACGTCATAGTAATCTAGCTTGTAATAGCACAAAGCTACGTATACATTTAAAGCTAGATAATCTCTGGAAAAATTTTTTAAATCCACTTAATTTCAAACTATTCCTCGTATTAAACCAGTATCTTGATTTTTGTGTGAAGATAAATTGAAGATGATAGGAATGACTTCGAGGAAGGAAATAAAAGGACAGGTACCTGCAACTTTCCTGCAGCTGGATAAGGAAATACAACTCAGAGTCCGTTTTGGAGTGGCATCTCTTGGTGCTTTTCTTTGAACTTGCGCAAATAATTGTGAAAAGGTGTGAGGTAAGGACGTGATAGTAAAAAATCATGATACAGAGACAACTTTATCCTTCAAATATTCTTCTAAATCTTTTGTTAATGATACAAAGGAGATATTCCAAACCTGTTGTCCAGTAAAATTCTCTTATAGACATCGATAGCCTCTTGATAGTGAGCTTGTAAGTAATGAATGGACGCTAAACTGAGCTGATCCTCGATAACATCCTGCAGCATCTGATGATACTCCGTCAGCTTCGACTCATTGCCCATCTTGTGGGCCAGGTGAAACAGCAGCCTGGTTCGCAGCTTGCTGTCCGCCGCGTCCTCCAGGATTTTCTGCGACTCGGGGTACATGCCCAGGTAAAAGTAGCAACAGGCCAGATTCGTCGGGACGTCCGGCGGTACATAATCCTTCTTCCTTAGGTTTTCGTAGACTGTCGCAGCACGCTTGTAATCACCCAGGTGGAAAGCGCAGTATCCCATCCACAGGTCCGTTTCCAGGCTGCTACTGGTGCTGCTGTTGAATTCCAATAGTGTCAGGGCTCCGGTGTAGTCCCGTTTCTCCAGGAACTCCTCCAACTTTGGTATCTGCTTGCGCGACGCTGACGTTCGAACGCCTTCCGACGAGGCCGGCTTGGACCTCGACAAAATCTATCACAAAACGATTTAAAAAAAAAAACATTGTTCAATTGTCGTTTTCTTATAATATTTATGACATTCAATGGAATTAAAAGAAATGAAAGAGGTATCGTTTACCATTTTCTGTTGCTTCTGTGGCACGCGCGCGGCTGTATCGATTATTTCAGGCACGTTGGCAAGCAATAATCAAACCACAACAAACAGCAAGCGCTTCGAGAATCGTGCGACGTAACCGAGATTGTTGTAAAAGGATTATTAAAGTCCCCGATGGAAAAAATGTCTCATTTTTCATATTATATAATCAGAAGTTTTATAAAAGTTTTTAGACTTCCTTAGAATTTTTCAGATTTTTTTATTATATAAATTAGAATGTTTTTCAGACAAAAACTCATCAGACAAAATGATAATAAAATATTTTAGACTTTTCCTGCCAACATATCTTATTTGTGGAAATCTGAATAAATATGAAAAAATTTGCGCAATTTATCAGAAACCATGCAATTATTTCTGAAAGTATCTGAGAAATTAATTTTACATATTTTTTCAAGATTTTCAAGAAATCTAAAACATATGAAATTCTTAGAAAATTTCTGATAAAAATATATGACAAACTTTTTCATCTTTTTCTAATTCTTGGATCTCGTTCTAAATTCTTGGAATTAGAAAAAGATGAAAAATGTAGGTTAAACTGAGATTACATTAGTAGAAATGGATATAAGCGAATAGAAATAACATAAATCAGAAGTTAATTGCAACGATATTAATGGAACAATTCAAAATCGATTTGCATTCCAAAAAAACTCAAATCTGGACAAAATCCTTGATTTTATAACCAATTGGTCAATTTGGTGCTAGACCGAACATGATGGAGCTAAAAAGTCTTCAAGAATTGAAAGTAAAGTTTAAAAATGCGATTAATTTTCTATTAAAAAGCAAAATGTAACATAGGCAAATACATATTTTGTACAAAAATTAAAATTTTTTACATTAAAAAAATAAAATAGCATCCATATGAGACGGATTTACTATGGATACAAGCCTTAAAGCCTCTAACCTAACATAACCTATAATAAAATTAATTAACCACTAACCTAATCTCAGTTGCGTTTAGCTGTCAGCAGTGTATGTACACAATTTGCGGTACGTTTTAAAAGTTATTTGTTATTAACCGCTCGTTTTTCATATTTGCGTAACGCATTTTATTTCTTTTTTTTCGTTATTTTATCCTCTTTTTATAAATCGCGAATATGCGATTAAACTGTACATAGATAATTTGTAAAAACAAAATTGGGAAAAATTTTTTCCCTCGGTTAAACGCGTCTGTAACCTTTTTTTAGGTTATATAGCACCTACCTTTTATACATTAGAATGAAAACAGAACAATAAAGATTAGAATTTGTGAAGAAATGTATTTTTATACTACACACACAATTATATTGTATATGTGTATAAACATGTACCCTGAGCATTCTTTTTGTATCTTATAATGTGATTACAACATACATTGTATACAATGGTCATGTTTAACAGCATCGCTCAGCTAAAGTAAAAATATAAAGCATAATTATTAAGATAAGGTTTGTTGAACCCCAGCTAATCCACAAACTTAAATCATAGTAATATGAAAGTTTTAGAATATTCTAATTAAGTTTGAACTTTACACACAAATTATACCAATAAAGTTGATTATATTTCAAAATTATTTTAAAATCTTTTCTTGTGTGCAAATAGACAGATGTAGAATAGTCAAAAAAATAATATTACGTTTACAGCGCCTGTCTCGTATAACGTCAAAGAAAATATGCCTTATATGTAACTGATATCTTTTATTATTATTAAGATGAATATTTTGTTTCTAGGAATTATTCTGCTAAATAATTATCAGGCAAATGGCGCAAGCACAGAGTATGGAGATCATTGAATTGATGTCGGATGAAGATGAAGATTTGCAAAGTACGAAGAAAACTAAATCTAAAGGATGCAATAGTAACTGTGTCAATTTTAAATGTCGCTCTGGAGTGAACATGAAGGCAGCACCTTCCTTCGCGTGCGCATTTTATGGAGTTTCACTCGAGAAGAAGAAGAACCGTATAATATGTAAAGAGTGTTTTGACGTTGCGCTGCAGCATCAGAGGGTAATTTTTGTTTCAATATATTGGGTCTGCTTTCTGTTGGCCGCACTAGTTCAGAGTTTATCTTTTTCCTTCCAATGTGGAGTAAAAAGGATAAACTACTCTGAACTAGCACAGCTAACTCGACAATAAAAAACAGACCCATTATGAGAATAAATGTAAGACGCATTGAATATTAATATTATTATCTTGCTTGTAGCATTTGGTAAAAGCCTTTGTAGAAAATAAATCACTGTTAGACTGTGATTTTCCGGATCATACGATGGAAGTGGAAATTTCTGATAGCGATGATTCTGACGATGAGAAGAAAAATGAACCAGATAGCAATGGTATATTGAGCTTTTAATGTTACTTTTAATACAAATGGCATCAAGAAAGAATTTAACTGTGCAACTATCAAATCGCGATTGTTAAAATAATGATTGTTTTCGTCGTTTTTGCAGAATATATACCGGACGATGTACTTTTAGACATCAAGGATAAATTAGATGATACATTGTCATATATCTATAAAAAATACAATGTGGAGCAGCATACTAAGGTTGCTTGCGAATCCCTGAAGAAGAGGTGGCAGGACATATGTGGTAAGACGAGTCTCCAATACGAAGTACGAGAATAAGATGCATGTAAAAAGTACAAATCTTTATCTCTTTTATTTAGATATAAGACATGCTTTATATCATATTATGCATTGACAGCGGCAAATGATTCTCTTAACACCGAAATACGGGAAGTAATGTGTACAATGGACAAATTGCGAAACAACTTGTACGAAGACTTTAGACCGCAAATTAAGATGCTCGAGGAATTGCAAATAAACGACGAAATTACGGAGGTCGCCCATCCCTTTGTAGCAACGAAGAAGGTAACGCAAGTACGTGTTCCGCCTTCCTCGTCGTTGCAAGATAATCAACTGGAGGTTTTAGCGATTGAACCATCGAGTAGTAAGCAGATAATAGCTCCTAAGTTACCGCCACCTGGTCCGGTCGTTAAACGATCTCCGGAGGTAGATGATATCGTTTATATCATGAAAAGTCCTGTTATGCCATGGCTCAAAGGAAAGGTTTGTAGAATGTTCATTGTACCTATCATGCAAAATATGTATTTACATATCATGCAAAGAAGATACTAATCCAAAGACGTTTCCGTAGATACAAAGTATAGTTTCAACAAGTCCATGGGGCTTTCGCGTGAAACTTATCCAGAAAAAGTACAATGGAGCGATCAAGAGTATCCCTGGCAAACTGCTAGCATTAACCGAACTGAGTAAAGTTATGATCCCAGTTGGAACGCGAGTTGTAGCTATATTTCGTGATGACATTTCCAATAATTACTACAGCGGAATAATTGCTGAGACACCAAAATCCATAAATAAATATAGGTGAGCGTTGTTTAGAAGTTTCTCTAACTGATTTATCTATAGAAAATGGTGAGAGTAAGGTATATACAAACTTTATCATGTGAGAATTTTTACAAGTTACGTATCATTTTACGTTAAATTATTTAATATCCTATATTAATGTGTTTATTATTTCAGATATCTGGTATTTTTTGACGATGGTTACGCTCAGTATGTTATCCACACCGACATCTACCTGGTTTGGGAGACCTCGCCACGTATTTGGGAAGACGTTCCCAGCGAATCGCGAGAGTTCGTGAAGAAGTACTTGGAATCATATCCCGAAAGGCCAATGGTGAAATTGCAACCGGGTCAAATGGTTAAGACCGAATGGAAGGGAAAATGGTGGCTCGCAAAAGTCATACAAGTCGATGCGAGTTTAGTGCAAATGCACTTCAACGCTGATAACAGAACCGAATGGATCTACCGTGGCTCGACTAGATTGGGTCCTCTGTACATCGAGGTGCGTAAGGCTAATGCGAGGCAACAGCTTCAACAGTCGGGCAATGCGCATACTCGACATCGTCTTCCTGCCACGTCTAACGTAAGTGGGCAAAAATTTACCTTTGAAAATATAGGAACTTTGAGAGAGTTTCGATTGAAAATGTTAAAACAGTTTTATAAGTGTTCTCTATCTTATGAATCGTAATTCCTGCAGAAAAATAACTTGCCTTACGTCGAATATACATCCAATGTGGAAGAAGATGTCACGCAAAGTGTGCAAGCGGAAAAAACGACAGTTCCCACGAGTGTGGCATCTAGTACACCGTCCATTGCACCGCAACAGTCGCGTGCAGTAGCTAAAAAAAGTACCGCCAAAAGGCATAATGTAGATACTACAACAATTCCAACGTACAACAATTCCACCGTGGAAACGAAACCGTCGCATAGCATTGTTGTGAGTAAATGATGTTTATTAGTGAATTATGCAATTGTTATTGCATATAACATATATATTAGCATGTTAAGTATTATAACATGCTGTTATAATCAGCATGATATTATTTTCGTGTTATCGGCTTTTCTAGTTTTACAATACCCAGAGGAAATATGAGCCGAAGAAATATGTTTCTCACAAATGCGGACCAAAATGTATCAAAAGCATCAAAGTTTCGCACGAGGATCTCAAAGGGCTTTCTCCGCTCTCCATTCCACTGTTGTGCGGCTGGCATCGTCAGCTTTGCAAATTCTCCAAGGGCAAGAAAGTTATATTATACCAGACACCGTGCGGCGTTAGATTACGAAATATGGAAGAGCTGCACCGTTACCTTCTCACTACCAATAGCACACTGTCCGTCGATCTGTTCGATTTTGATTATTGGGTGCGTGCTTTCGCCGACTTCGTCGTGGAGAAGTGCTTTATCAACATCAAGGTAAAGGTCGTCGAAATCAAACTGCAAAAACTTAATTTAACAAGGCGTGGTTGATGCGAAAAAACTACTAATTTCCTGTGGATACTAGAATATCTATATATTTATTGTATTGTGATATAAAAATTATGTAGATATTAAAAGATGTGAGGAGATAACTCTGTGATTTCGTATTTTAAAGGATCTCAGTTATGGCGAGGAAAATGTGCCGATACCATGTGTGAATGATTTGGATCACACTCAACCGGACACCATAAGGTACACTACACGTCGGGAGCCAACGGAAGGTGTTAATCTAAATCTGGATCCTGCGTTTTTGTGCAGCTGCGATTGCGAGGACGATTGCCAGGTATGAAATCGTCGAACTACCGTTATATTCGTATGCGAATTTGCGCTTTATCTTGCATTATCATATAATGTACCGTAGGATAAATCGAAATGCCAATGCTGGCAGCTAACGATACAAGGAGCAACTCTAGGAGGAAAAATGCCGAATACCGCTGTCGGTTATATTTATAAACGCTTGCCGGAACCGGTGACCACGGGAATCTACGAATGTAACTCGGGATGCAAGTGCTCTGTGAAAACGTGTCTCAACAGAGTGGTGCAACATCCTCTCAAATTAAAGTTGCAAGTGTTTAAAACAGGACCGCGTGGTTGGGGCATAAGGTGTCTCAATGATATTCCCCATGGTGCTTTTATCTGTATTTATGCAGGGAGATTACTCACCGAACAGGTGCGGGCAATTAGAACGCCAATCGCCAGTTATTAAATCCGTTTGTCTTATCCATTTATTTTATACGTGCTTATTTTATCACATAGGGCGCAAATGAAGGAGGTAAAAATTACGGCGATGAGTATCTGGCAGAGTTAGATTACGTAGAGGTGGTAGAAGGTTACAAGGAGGGTTACGAAAGCGACGTTCTCGAACCGGAAATGTCGGCGTCATCTGCAGAAGAAGACAATAAGAAGAAAACCACCGGCGTGAGCGACGAGGAAGAGGAAAACACAAAGGAAAGCACCACTGGCTCGGATGAAGATTTCAATATTGATAACTATGTGGCTGATAGTAAAGATTTGTTAGAAACAACTGCGGAATCTTCGTCTATCAGGTATGTTGCGTTCTATGCTACTAGCTTATAAAAGAATCTATTTTTTTTTTTAATGGATTATTATAACATTAGCTAAACTATGATGTTTGTATAAATGGGAAAAATTTCAAAGAAAGCTTTATTACCAGGAAACGTTTAAGAAAACGGAAAAGAGAGGACATGGATCAACCAGATATATCTGAAGAAAACAGCGAAGATGGAAGTGTTACGAAAAATTTGGAAAATGCGACAAAATCTGTGACTGAAATTCTGGATACGATCAATATCAGTGACGACGATGACAGTAGAAATGTAGACATAAGAAGAGAGCCGAGTAGATTCGAGCCTAGTGTAGAACCAAAGCAAATAGAGAGATCAACCTTCAAGTCTGTGAGAGATTACTTCGGCGAAGACGAAGCCGTTTACATTATGGATGCTAAAACGACTGGAAATATCGGCCGTTACTTGAATGTAGGTGACAAAAGATTGAAACATTTAATTTTCTATTTTTTTATTATTTGAAAAAAATCTTTGGCTTCAGAATTTAATAATCTTTGGATTAATTTCTAGAATTTTTGAAAACTTCGCGAAAGCACTCAACATCCCTAATCGTGACTTGATTATCTTTGTACTTGTGAATTTTGAATAGAAGTCATTTTTATGTATCTAAATATCTTTTTCAGCACTCCTGCGACCCAAACGTGTTTGTGCAAAATGTGTTCGTCGATACACACGACGTACGTTTTCCTTGGGTGGCTTTCTTCGCGTTACAATATATAAAAGCTGGACAAGAACTTACGTGGAATTACAGTTACGATGTAGGAAGTATACCGGGTAAAGTGATCATTTGCAAATGTGGTGCAGCTAATTGTAGAGGTCGTCTTCTGTGAATTGTGCATTTTATGGTAATAAACTTTGTTCTTTGTATAAATGGAACTTGTTTTCTCTAGCAAAGTTGATGGTTGATGATACGTGGTACAGACATCATATTAGTCATCGCTTATCTTTATCGAAAAAAAAAGTTTGCGACAGAAATGAACAAGTACATAAAGACATGAAACATACATTTATTTTAAAACATTTCATATATATAAAAATCTGCAATGTGGGTTTTGATCTTTTATGAATTACGTAGATGTGACATATTGCTTAATTTTAGTTAATACAATTTTTCCAATTTTAGTAGATATTTAAGTGTAATTTTATAATATGAAAAAGTATATTTCTCTTCCTCTCTTTTTGAAACATGACATTCGGAATGGCTTACGTCTGGATACCAGAAAATTAGAACAGCGTTCATAACAATGATGTATTTGCTTATTACTTTTGATTATTGTACATTCTTAGCATCCATTAGACACATTACACGTTGTTAGCATTGCAAATGTACTGCTTCTTTTTTATCGCAATTTATACATACGTTCAAAAATTCAACTCAGCACACAGGTGTCTCAAAGGAGTTTTAGCACTTTGCTTAAGAGTACAAGAGACTCCATATATCGCTGCCACGAAAATATCAGATTAAAAATGGAATAATATGCTTCAAGCGATTATGACATAAAAATGTATAAAAAAGACTTTCAGAATTTATAAATTAATAACAAACAATATGTACCGCCTTATAGAATAGATCAAAATATATATCAAAATTACATTATGTATATATATATGTATACATATATACGGTTGTAAGTTTAAACTAAATTAACTTTCGTAACTCGTCTTAGCCACGAAAGAATAATATCTTATGATAAATCTGTAACTTATATGTATATGTATATTTAGAACCATAAAGAATTGATTATCGCGAGAAGAATACGAGCTCTTCATTATACAAATCTCTCGACATGCAGTATATTATCAGTATTATTATTATAAAACGGCATCCATGTGTACCTATTCTTCATTTAATTTCGAGTGCTTAAATACGACATATACTCTAGTCATCATAGGCGGGAAATCAAAACAAAGCTGGTAGAATAGTCTCTCTCTATAAGGAGGAACATTAACGTACTAAAGTAACAAAATTATGATTCCGCATTTTGTTTGGCTTTATGCTAGTGGAGTTTCAGGAGCTGTTTAATCTCATCTTTCTCGGCCGCATCCAGATAGCTTGTGCCGTCCGGCGTTAACCCGTCCGGTTTAGCGCCTTTCTCCAGCAGCAGTTTTACACAGTTCGTGTGCCCCTCCCAGATTGCCGCCAGCAACGTCGTGATTCCATGCTTATCTGTAGCCTGCAAGAAATACACTTATCTATTACACTTAACGGTATCTCGAATTGCGTAGTTGAAAACAAAAAATAATTTATCGTCAGAGATAGAAAATTACTTTGCACCTAACAATTACATAGCATAGGCTATTATTTAACTGTAATATTTGGCATATAGTGACTCTTTAAAGTATTTTAATTAATTACTGATTACTAATTTCTTGACATTTGATACCGTTGCTTACATTGGCATTTGCTCCTTTGTCCAATAAATATCTGACAACTTCGCTTTGACCGTAATCAGCTGCATAATGTAATGGCGTTCTTCCATCAATCATTTGATTTACATCAATGTTCTGAAAATGATAACAGTGATGATCAGACAACAAAGTAAACTTCTTCAACTTGAATAAATTAATAGTTAAATATTGTACTATTAACTGTAGTACAATAAAGTGTAATAGAAGATATTGTTTCAATGTTTTTGTGCTATATCCAAACCTTCATAACAAGGCTAACACAACTCCAATATTTTATTTATTAAGTGTTCAATGTATATAAAAGTAATAGTGCGTTACATGCCTATGTATAAACAATCAAAATTAATATATTAATATTACTAATACAACTAGCATAAAGCTTACAAGGAATATTGAAAGATAAACAGATGTGGCAACTTGGTTGCAAATAACAAGAGAATATTGGATGTAAAAAAACCTTTTGTAAAGCTATCGCAGTAGAGTATTTCTCATACGAAGGGTCAGTTCTCTATTGCTGACTAGTGTACAGTCAGTTAAACAATAAAAAATAGACCCAAAATTACATTGACACAAGTATTTTAATTCTCCATAATTCTTTAATAAGAATTGGTGGTACGTTCGGCAACAAAGTTCTTATGCTGCAGTATACGTTAGCAAGCCCAAAATGCTTTACATAATTAAACTTGTCGACAACTCTCAGATTGCTCCGTTCCAGATCAAGTTCACGAGAAGCAAAATGCAGATGTGATGCAAAAGGGATGCGTGCCAAATGTGACACGCTCACTCGTGTTCTCGCGCGAGTACTTCCGGCATCGAGAAAGGCGCATTCGACAGGCTCTTTCGACGTATAATACACATTCTACATACTTAACAGTCTAGAAAGAAGGACAGAGCACACGTTGGGCATACTAATCGCGCGGTCGCGGCGCGTTTTTTTTTTCTTTTCCAAAACGAAAGTATTTGAGAATCAACATCATCGTCATATTTGCCTTGTTCTCGACGATGTCGCGCACTTGCTCGAGATCGCCGTTTTTTATTCCCCAAACGAGCTCGCTCATTCTCGTTGCTGCCGCACCCGCGGATCCACACGACGGACGGTATTGTATTCGCGTTGCGTACGTCCAATTCTTTCCGCCGCTCCTATCCGTTCCGTCTCCCAGTCATTCGTCCATGAAATTTGACGAGGCTCCGGCTACCACCACCGCGAACAGTAATCTCGTTCACTCTGACAATCCCGCACGCCAGCCAGCAACCTACGGAAACCAAAGATACTGCGACGCGAGCATGCGTCGCCGGACGGACACACGGATGATGTGTCAATAAATCCGTTCTTATTTTAATTGAGCTCTTGCACGCGGTTCGTCTTTTCTCTTTTTCTCTCCAACGTGAAAAGAAAAAGAGAAAAAGATGAATCGTGCAAGAAGTTCAGCCAAAAAGAACGGGCCTAGTTATTTCTCTAGGCTGTCAAACTCTTCCTCGAGGACCTCGAGTTCCTCGGTGAGTTTCAGTGAGTTTCGGAACGCTAAATCGAGGTCGGGGTCGGTCTCGGAGGAGATCTCGGATCGAGCGATGTTTTTCTCTTCACGTTAATTTATAAAAACGAGCGACATCCAATTTTCTCTCCCCGTTGCACAAGCTACGCTCGTAACAGTTAAAATGGCATCGCTCGCTCGCGTCGGTGTTGCGAGGCTCGGATACAATAACGTTACAAGACAATTATGTAAGGTTAGTATTAACAGCTATACAGTGTTAACAGATTTTATTTTTGGTATACGGAAACAAATATATTGGTAGCTAGATCAATCGTCAATATAAATGAAATTCATTATAGAAATTCATCGCTTCCCCGTTAAAGTATCGTAAATCATCTCAATACACGTCACCTTATGTTAACTGTGTTATATCATAATTCGTGCGCATTGTACAGGTGACAGCTACCAGCAACGTAACGCAAACGGCCCTCATTTCGCAAAAGGCGAAACGAGTGAATCGACGACGAGTGGAGCCGTTCGACTACTTGCACAAGGAGTACGGCTTCTGGGCCCAGATGTTCGATCCGATGGTCGACCGGTGCGACGAGAATTCCAAGGTGATCGTCGTCGAGGGCCCGATCGCCGCGGGGAAGTCCAAGGTGGCCGCGAAACTGGCGGAGGAGTTCGAGATGGCCTATCTGCCGCCGCCGAACTTCGACGAGTTTTACATAGACGAAAATGGATACGACCTGCGCACGCTGGACGACAGATTGTCCCCGGGGTCGCAGTCGTGCGACGTGCAGAAGTTTCTGACGAATCCGCATCACATCAACGTGCCCATGTTTCAGTTTCACTACTTCCAAATGAAGTACGACCAGTACATCACCGCTCTGCTGCACCTGCTGTCGACCGGTCAGGGAATAGTGCTCAATCGTTCTATATACAGCGACTTCGTGTTCGCCCAGGCGATGACGAACGCCGGTTACATGCGTCCGGAGGCGCTCAAGTTTTACCACGATATCGTGAACGTCGCCAAGATGCTGATACTGAGGCCTCACTTGATCGTTTATTTGGACGTGCCTGTGGATGCGGTCAAGGTAATTTTACTTTATCGCGAATGACACCCGCGACCGCTCACTCTCTTCCTCTTTTATGTATTGATGTGTATCTTAAGCCCATTCTACAATGGTCGTAAAGTACGCGTTAAGACGTAAGCAGTAAGCTATTGACTAATGGGATTTTTACAATCCAAGAATGATGGACTGTAGTTGGTCAATTTTTACTGCTTATGTCTTAAAACATACTTTTACGGCTATTGTAGAATGGGCTTAAGAGATATCTTATATGTCATTTTCTGTCGATATTTGCAGGAAAAAATTAAAAAACGAGGCATCCCGTACGAAGTGAATTCGAAAGTTTTCACCTCAGAGTATCTCCAAGATATTGAAAATATATACAAGTTGGACTACCTGAAAAATATTATAACGCATTCACACGTGCTGGTCTACGACTGGGCAAACGAGGGAGATATCACTACCATAGTCGAGGATATCGAGCAATTGAACTTCGATTATGAAAAGTCCGAAAAGAAAATGGCTGACTGGAGATTCGAGACCGTTTCGGATCTTCGAGTTAAAAGGCGACTTTATGAAAATAGATTTTTCCTACATGTGGATTATTATAGAAATGAATATTCAGTGCCAGAACTGCACTACACACCTGAACAAGATGAAGAAAGAGATACAATTTTACAAATGGTATGTATGTGTAAATCGTATAATTAAGTTCGTTTGCAGTGGAATTTCGTGAAATTTATCATCCGATCAGTTACTGCTCAATCATGTACAATAATCAATAAGATAGCAAATCGAACGGCGAAAGAATTATAATACAAGCGACCAAAAGATTTGGTTTCCCTAGTTCAAGAGATCATCATATGTCATTATTAATCTCGTCACAGGTACCCGGATGTAAGTACGATAAAGGATTTAATCCTGAGCTTGGATTCAAAAACATTTTGTGGAAGACACCGTCAAATTTCAAATTAAAGACCCTGAGACCCAATGCACGCGAGGTAGACGTGGTAGTTGAAGAAATGAAGAAGCTCAAGGCCGCCGCCTCGAAGCTCAAGGTCGCCGCGGCGAAGCAGTGAGAGCGAGAAAATTGATATATCTAGGAAAAACATAGAGCTTGTAAACAATAAGTGAAGTAAAAATAAATTTTACTTTTAATCGGGAAATGCCTTCAGTTTTCATTGAATTAATTTTCATTTCACTGCCACATCTCGTAATAATGAAGCATTTTCATTGATATAATTAATAACTTTTTAAAGTATGAATATATAGATGTATTCCCGTAATTTTAATATATTTAAAAAATCTGTTCTAAATTCGTTAAAAAATGTTAAATGTTGGTGCAGTAATGGCAACACAATCCCGTATATTTACGCGTTATATGTTTTGTATATGTGTATATATATAATATATTCAAATAAATCTACTTTACAATTGTGAGTTGTTCTATGTATAAATTATTTCCTTTTTATGAATACATCATATAACATTAACATTTGAAAATATATTAATATATATTTACTGGCTCATTATACTCTTCAACATACATAGTATAAAGATTACAATTGTCACTTAAATATTATACATAGAATATATTTTGTTTTTCTGTCAAGACACATTATGTAAGAGTTTTTCTTACGTTGAAAATTCAAATGACAAATAATCGTAAGCCTTATCGTCTATTGATCAACTGGATGAAATATATAATGTAATAAACATTGATATAATCGTTTTGGTACAATTCACGTCATATATAGTTATCCATGTTTAAAAAGGATAAGGACTGGTTTGCGTATGTTGTGTTAAATAAACTGTTAGACAACTTTCCTTCTTGGAATCTGTGCAATATTTTCCCTTTTGGATATTATAACATGGAGATGACTTCTCAACATAACTATAGTAAAATCGCACAGTTACAAGACGTAAAATTATTTCTAGCGGTTACAAAAGTTCCGTTTGTTAAAAAGGCTTTTTGATTACTTCATGCTGATATTAGACTGGAACCTAATTGTTTGAACAGAGACATATCGTTCGCCCAATTACAACTACCCTTATCGCGTTTTATTTATCGATCCGTGAGGCTGTCACGATAAACCTCCTCGCGCTGCACCGTTTTTTCCACACGGTTAACATTCGGAATGTGTTTAAGGCGATACTTTGACACTGTGGGAATTCCATTATGGTAGTTTCCCCTCGCGCGAAACTCATCTCGGAAGTAACTCTCGTACGCAATTGTTTAGGACCGTTTCTCGCGAGTAGATAAATCCACGGGCGTGTAACATCCCTATAAAAAGTTCCACTAACTGGGAGGAGCCGCGGCAGTGGTTCGCTTCTTTTTCGCCCGCCATTTAACTAGAAGTTCATTAAATTAATATATATGTTCCACTGAAAAATTTGGGTAGATCAGTATCTTCCGTCTTTCTCCGTTATCTCTCTTTTGCTTGTTAAACCTTCCCTCCCATTTCCCTTTCCCCGCATATCAACCCTTTCACGAATCATATAAATATTCATTTGCGTTTCTATACCGCAATAATTATAGTCACATTTATCGAAATATTGAAGCGGCGAAGCTCGCTAAAAAAGGGGGGGTAACGTTCTAAGGAGCTAAACTACAGCAGGAATTGGTTTTCCGTGCGGTCTTGTAAAACGCCTTCGACTGAGCGCTGAGCCCCTCCGACTTGGAAACTAGATCGTCCAGCTTCTCTCCCCTTTGCAGCACCGCTTCTAAGGTATTGTGCTGGTAAAAAGATATCACAAAATTTTCTGAATGCTTGCATCACGTATACAAATGGATATTCTAACAGATCAAGTAAGCAAACGGGGAGAGGAAAAATGGAGAGATTGACTCTTACCAGAATAATTTTTGTCTCGTCTAGATCGTTCTGCATTTTCGTGAGCGCGTCTGCCTCGAGCGGATTCTGATACTTGGCTAGATACGTATTGATCTGTGGAAAGTCGGCGGTGATCTCCCTGAGCGTGGGCCATGTCGATTGCGGATGCTTCGCCGCAAACTCGTCCATCACTTTCGTAATCAGAGTGTGCGCCACTCTCCTGGGGTATTCGTGATCCGAGATGAGAACTGCGGCGAGATTGTCGGCTCGCACATATACATGGCACATGTATTCTGCGGGATAGAAATCAAATGTCTTAAAGATACTTGCTGGCAGTAATACAAAAAGTTTGTTGGGAATTATAATCCAGTCATTACCGCCTTCCTTGACGCTCTGCCTGGCACAGGTCTGCGTTCTTTCCACAATGGTTTTACTGACAAAGCACATGAATTCCTTAATACTGTTCTTTTGAAAAAATGAGAACGACTCTACGTCGTAAGCAGCCTTCAGCGTCGTCGCCGACGTAACACTTTTGTACAGAACGGTCAGTGCATATAACTTCACCATCTTGAACTAACAAGAATAATAAACTGTTAAAATTTATTTGATAATAAATATTCATATACAATTTACACATATGTAAAATTTATTATTTGTTATAAATTATTACTGTAATACTTTTATGCATACATGTATTTTTTTTATATTTTTTCAGATTAAAATAGGTACATATTTTCTATGTATTATAAATTATTGAGTAACAAATTTCGAGATCAAAGTGATAAATAAGAATGTCAGTAGAAATAACAAGCTTTATGGAATAAGACTTTATATCACATATGTTTTACATTTTATCCATCATATTTAAATCGTTTACTTAAATTATAGGCAATAAATCACTAAGTAGTAAAATTTAATCTTACAAGAATAAAAACTTGCTCGTAGATCTCATAAATGGAGCATTTGCAACAAGTTGTCATCCAATTATCAGACTCATGAAGGAAATGCACAAAATTTACAACCAACCGTCGACGTGAAAATAAGAAAGCATTTTCGTAGTTGGTTCTAAAGTATAATAATAATGATAAATTTCTATCTGTTTCGTGTATACGAAAAAGAAAGTGAAAAATCTTGGGAGTAGTTTAAAAACAAATGTCAAACGTACGTCGATGCTCTTTACACAGTAAATCTATATCGTTACAACTTGCGGGATCTTTGGTTGTAGCGGCGAATCCAGGCGAGTCCTGCCACTCGTGCAATTCGGCTGTCAGCAGGACGCTCACTCGGCTCACTCGCCGTGCTGATTCACTGGAGAATCATCTTGTTTTTCCACGACGTATACAATCACCTCGAGCCTGCGAGGTACGGGAACGGCCATGTTGGTCATGTTGCACGTCGGGCAGAGTGATAGGCCAACGACATACGAGTTCTCGCGCTAGTTCCGCGCAAAATCTAGTAAATTACTAGAAATGGCACCGGCAGACATAGCAAGCCACGCAGCCAATTGCGATCAATGCAGATTTAATTCAAAATCAATGCAGATTCTTCTATCAATGCCGATTTAATTTGAATTAATTTTAATTTCGTTTAACTTACATTTTAACGTTTTTCTAATATTTATTTCTTCAATGCAGATTAACTTTAATCTCACTTTAATTTATTACCTTTTTTTATATATTTATATTCTTAGAACTAGAAAAAAATAAAAAGTTAAATCGAGATTAAAGTTAATCTGCACTGATAGAAATGAACAAAAAATTCTGAGAACTAGAAAAAGATAAAAAGCAAATAAAATTAATCTACATTGGTAGAAATGGACGTAATTCGTCGCTGGATGTGCTTGATGTATTTATAGAAACAATTCGTAATAAATGATAAAGCTTATTGAGCTATTTTTTTCCGCTGAACACAACTAATAGACTTATTATTTTATTTCTGTATTAGGTTGCACTAGAATCTGCTTCCTCGCTTTTGACATATATTTCAAACATATACCTATTTCACTTTAGATACAGAAAGCGTATGTACACTAGTTTAACAATAAAGAGCAGCTTTTAGGGACAAACCTCAAATTTTAGTGCTAATGACAACTTTTGTAGTGGAAAGAGAATTTTTATGAAATAAAGAAAGACAGAAAATGTTCTTATAAATCAATCGGAATTTAAAGAAGGCATCAACAGTTAAACATTTAAGTATATTTTGCTATTTACATATATAAATTTGTCATGTATTTTAAGTAACATGCTTACTGCATATTGTTAATCTTAAGAATAAAAACTGTCATTATGATCTTGACGCAGTTTAAGACAGTGTGCACGACGTTCTATAAATGCGGCCATTCTAGTGGACGGTATGGTAGCGCCAGTTGATATCTAACAAGAAGAAAGAACGATATCTTATTAAATTTCAATGCAATATCGACGCCACATAATGGTAAATCATTATTTAAAATAGAGGAAACTATGAAAGTATAAGTTTATTACTTTTAACCATGGCGAACCAAGACAGATCTCTGCGTTCACTCGATCCTCACCACGCAGGCACAATAATCTCCCGAGGAGTTCCTTCGCGTCGCTGGATATCGTCTCGAAATATTCGTCGGGAAAACAGAAATCGCATTTGAGAATGTTGGCGGTGGTTTCTTCGACGGAATCATCCAAAAACGGCGACAATCCACTAAGATATTCAGAGATGGATGAGACACGGATAATAGGATAAGCAGGGTGCAATAAAAAAAATAATAGTAGGTTCAAGGGAACAAATAAAACAATATTTCAGGAAAATACCTTAACAAAACATAAATAAAAACTCCAACGGCCCACATATCCGTGTAAGGGCCGGTCGGTCTACCTAGCACCGACTCCGGCGCTGCGAATTCCAGATCGGCGGGTGGCGGCACAATCTCGTCGATGGGAGCTCTGACCGCTTCCCCCAGATCTATCACCTTCACCTGGTCCGTCTCGTGGTCAACGAGGACGTTCTCCGGTTTCACGTCCAAATGCGCCCGGCCGCGACGATGCAACCAGCGCAACGCGGACAACAGCTGGCAAGTGTATCGCGTCGCCGTCGCTTCGGTGTATTCTGTCTTCTCACTCAGATATGCAAACAGCATCGGGCCTCTGACCCTGCGGAGAGGAGAGAGAGAGAGAGTTTGTTAATACGTTTGTTAGCCAGGTGATCGTCGCTGAATACTTACAGCTCCAGGACGATGGTGTCCACTCCGGGCCGAGGCGCATTCTCGAACAAGGCGAACGCCCTGACGATGTTGGCGTGATGAGTCGAGGCCAGCACGTCGTATTCCGCGCGCGTCAGCATTCTCGACTGTTTGTGGAGCGGAATTTGCTTGAGTGCCACCTCCTGACCGGTGCCCTTGTCTCTGGCGCGACGGACGGTGCCGAATCTACCGTTACCCAGTTCGTCCAGCTCCAGGTACCTGCCGACGAACTGCTTGATCTCCCATTCCGCGCCGCCACCCGTGTCCGACCGCGACAGGGTCACTACCATCGACGGCGAGGTCGTCCGCCCATCCTCGCCCACCACCCGAAAGCTACACGAAGCGTCCATCGACACGTCCAGTAGAACGGGCGGCTCGTTAGCCAGCCTCGACATCGGCACCCATTGTTGCGACGGTAGAGTTCTGCATTCTATGCTGCACGACGCGCCGCCGATCTCCTGCCTGTCCCAATCGATCTCCACCTTCGAGCATCCTAAAACGCGCGCGGAGGTGCCGCTCTTCCCACCTGAAACACGATCGATATTAAATCATCTATGACTATCCATGACTATCGTGATACTCCTTATATCGAGATCCCTGATCAACATACCTACGACGAAGAGAGAAATTCCCACGGAGCAGGAGCCCGTTTCGCCTTTTAGGTGACAGTGATATATCCCGGAGTCCGAGGTTCGGCAACCGGTGATCTGCAGGTATACGAAGCCCGCGCTTCGCTGGAACTGGTACCGATCGTTCTCTCTTATACACTGACCCTCGCCCTCCTTCATCCAGGTGACGGTCGCACTGTCCGCGTTGTGCGTCTCGACGGAGAATCTAACGACCTCGCCGACGGTCGCGCGTATCGACGTCGGACTGCTCAGAATAGCCGGCGTTTTATCCTCGGCCGTCGTCGCTGACTCCCGGGGATCGGCGGCGTGACATCGCGCGAGATCGATCTTCCGCGGTCGAAACGACCACGCACGGCTGATCGCCGAGTTCGGAATGAGACTCGCCGGTATCCACAACTCGTCCTTGGTATTCACGGGGGATACCACTAAGCCCGGACCGTCGAGGTGCGAGACAACGAGCTCGTCTCCGGCATGTAACTTTCCCCAATCCGCGGCCAATCTTACGCGTGCACCTGGAACGACCTAAGGCAGTCCCTTCGTTACAAGCGTGTCTTCTTGAACGTTCGTCACGTTGTTAAGCTTTCATGCAACTTGCGTCGCTACGCCCCGTTCTGCGTTCACCCAGAATGCGACATGGAAGTTCGACCCCAGGAAGAGCTTCCAGCACCGTAGTGCGGCGGATGGTAGCGGCAATAACGATAGTAGCGATCCCGGTAAAGGAAGAAATATAACAGCAGTAGTAGTAGCAGTGGTTTTGACAGAATCAGCAGTATAGCAGCGGTAGAGTAGTTGTTACAGAGGCGGGTATCGATTGCGACGATTCTGTGGAGTGCTAGCGATAACGTTTGGTGACGAGCGGTAGAAACCAGCGGTGTAGTGTAGTACACAGTATATAGTGAGTAAAAAGGTGTTAGAAGCGATAACGGGGTTTGCAGAATCAAAAGTCATTCGTTTACAAGAGGTCGGTTTCGGAGTTTTCTTTCCATTTTTCTAGCGATTATCCCTCGCAGGTGTGTACGTATGCTTTTTGCTTTACGTCTGTATGGAGGTCTCGTTACACAAGATTAAGAAGATACGGTAATGGCGTTCGTGGATCGTTCATAGTCGACAGAGTTGTTTAATGATAGAGGTATAACAATCGTCGCACCGATAGAAGATAATGCGATAGATAGCGGTAGATAGCGACAGGCATCAAGAAGAGGAAGAGCCCCGTTGCTGCAATCATCAAGAATTCCAATTGACACGGGTGACAACGTATGCATACGCCAGCTAAAATTGGGTAAAGCCCATGTTAAACAGGATTGGCTCACCGGGATGGAATTGTTGCGAATCGGCGAGCGTGTGCGTAGAGTATTCTTAAATCCCTCCAGGAAAGTTAGCCTACTCTTTGTCGGGCTGGGCGTACGTGGTTGCGCGCATTCCAATCCTCCGGTTTGCGAGCGTTGCAACGGTTGACTCCTATGCTCGTTACCCTTGTTCGTCGTTCCGGAGACGATCAGCGTCGGAGGAACCGACACGGTTGCCCGTACAGGTTCGGACGTGGTGGTAGCGGTGGCGGTGACGGTGGCACGGCTGTACGCCAGCAAATCATAAATGAAATCCAAGACACAGTACTACGCGTCGAGACTCGCGCACTTCGATACGCCCGCGGGTAGCCGTTAAATGATAAAAAAAATAAAGAAAAAACATCTTTCAGGATATCTCGTCGAATGGACTTCCGAACGGAATGGAATCTCGAAGCGATCGATAGGAACGAGTCTCGACATTAGCCAGGATATACGGAGGAAACCGACGTCGCCAGCAACTTGGATCTTTCGGACGTGTCGAAGAATAGATGAGTGTGTGCTTAATATAGCAACGCATGGCGGCAAGGTAGGTAGGTGGTTGGTTGGTTGGTTGTGATCGTGGTAGATACACTTGGACTTGCTTCCCGCAGTACTGTGTTCTTGATGAAATTATAAGAAAAGAAGCTGGTTAGTCGGGTCGGGCGTGTATTAGATAGTAGACGAGGATAAAAGGGGATGCATATCACAATCACTCGGTCTTAATCATCAATTTACAATTTATTCTAGACAAAATTCTTACGATTCGCGGGTCAATTATAGCTTTGCTTCGGACTGTCCTCCAGTGTCGCGCATTAAATATATACACAGTATACTGTTACGCCACAAATCTGTCCATGTAGACTCGTGCGCGCGCGCATGTTTTTGTAAACGTTATTAAAATTATTATAAATATATATATATATTGCATATCTTCATATATTATTACGTTATTAATACATCGCACTCGTAGCGCGGTCCTTCTGTATATCGTCATATCGTTTATAAGTCCGCATGTGTGTAGAGATGTAAACGCACGTAAACAACAAAATACGCCCCCATTCTTGGTGCATATGTATATGCATACAATACATGCACGCATAATGCATGCGCATTGGAACGGATTAATACACGTTTATAGGCTCCTGGGACCAGATAGTCGAGTCTAGAAGAGTAGTATACGTTAAGGAACAGGGTGAGTAGATTTTGATCCATTAAACGATAAAAAGAGCATTAACTCTCGCATGCCCGTGGCAATCTAAAACACTAAAGTATATATACTTCCGTATATATATATCTGATACAGAGCGATAGCTGAAGTCTACAATCGTTCCGAGACGTCATCGAATATGAAAAGATATATATTTATTATATTTGTATGTTCCAAAGCTATCGCATCGTTTTTTTAATGACGGCCTTTTGCAAAAATTTAAAAGCGACATCACCTTAACGGTTAATTTTTAAAAATATCCAGTCACGTGTAGATATTTAATATCGGAAATTTAATTTTGTCGCTGCTCAGTCGCCTCTCGCTAAGGAGATATCACTTTCAAATCCGTCTATAGCGATGAGTCATTAAAAAATAAATGCATCACTTTTGAGACACCCTGCACATATACTCTTCTGGTATAAAGTGTATTTTTATTTCTTACTAAGCCGATAGAGAAGTGTAAGTACTGTGTTTTGTGTTTGTGTGTGTGTAGATACTCTTTAAGCTCCTGCGCGGAATATAGTTGAATACTGCATCGTTATTGTTTCCTCTGTACTACGAAAGCAATATCATCGGATATAAAGGTTTAATCCAGAAAAGGAATGTGAGAAAAATGATTGGATACGTGCAAATATCTTTTAGCGTGTGATATTAATAACAATGTAAGGCGCTAAGATATATCGAAACGGTTGAAAGTAGTTAATTTTCGACAAAGGTGAAAAATGGAGCTGCAGGGCGCAGAGGAAAGCAGGCGATGGTTTTTTTTTCTTTTTTTTTTTTTTAGGATACGACTAACGATTATCTAGCTCTTACGGCAATTGTATCTTCTTTTTATATAAAATATACAAAAATATGTCGGAACGAATATTCACAGATCGGATATTAAAAGAGAGTCAGTGTGTAATTCAATGTGTTAGAGACGCTTACAGTGGGTCTTTGGTAAGTTCCTTCTGGTAGGCAATCGGTGATTGTATCGCCTTCAGGAAGTCGCGCTGAGTTTGCAGGATGGCAGTGATGGTATCTACCCACTCCTGCCTGCGCGGTCCACTACTTTCTTCAGCTATGCTACAAGAGAATCCTAGCCCAGGGTTCCGGGGATCCGTCGACCGGATGATAAACTTCTCTGGATCGTCGTTCGAATCTTCGAGACTCATTTTGTTTACCTACATACAGTGTACATCGATCCGATAATGTAATGGTACTAATGATATTTCCCTCCTCCGGAAACAAAGATAGGCAGATAGAAGTGAGAACCAATTAACAAGTAATCTTACCTGAATATGTGCTTTGTATATGTAGACAGGACTGGTGAATTGCGTTTTCTTGCCGACAGTTTCGCTGAAGATGATATTTTGCTCGAAAAGAAAGACTTGCCATTCCCTTTCTCTCGTCGATAAGTTTGATATTTCCGACACCAGAAGCGGGCCGTGCAACAACAGCTTGCCTTGCGCCGTTATTTTACCCTGAAGAAAGTTAAACGTGACGGATTTTCGAGACTGTTTTTACCATGTAAAAACGAGAGGGAGTGAAAAAAGGGCAATACTCACGTCGAAACCTTGTAATCTCCCAACGTCCATCATATCGTTTGCAGCTTTAGGAATAACTCGCATGACATGAGCCGCCGCTCTGAGGCCTTCGATTTCCGATAACCTTTGAGTTCGCTCAGTGAGGCGCAGTGCCTCCCGTAGAAGAAGTTGATATTTTGTAATCCTTTGTACGGGCTTGATCAGCAAGTCGCAGAGTTGCAAACGATGCCCAAGTTTTTGCCTAAGTTCCTACAACAACACATACGCCTCTTTGTTTAAATGTTTCCGTTTTGCGCGTAGCCAACTTCATCGATTTTAATATTTACCTCGAAGTAAGTATCTATATGTTCGGACACGATGTATTCCGAGACGGGCTTGTTCTGACAATAAACCACGTACATGTGCAACTTTCGCTCGTAACGTTTGAAGAGCGGTCCGAGCTCTTCAGGACGTTCCAAACAACGTTCCAAAGCTTTGAGGAAAAAGCTGAAAGCAGGAAACATCGATCGTAAACAGTTTCGACGGTGTGATCATCGCTAAAAAGTTTCAACGGTCGGTCCGACTCACTCTCTGTGCCACTCGTAAATAGCCTCTATGTTACCGAAAACCATCTTATCTTTCCCAGCGCGCAGATCTTCCGGCAAGGGGATCTCGCAGTCGGGATCTCGCATTAGTGCCATGTAACCTTCGACTATCAGCTTTAAGTCATTGACGTAATCTCTCTCGGTATCCACCAGCTCGCTAATAACAAAATGCCGCTTCGCGATCGCGGTACTCTCCGGATCTGCCTCCTCGGAAGCGACCGCGTTAATAGCCGCGTTACAATACTCCTCCTCGTTGCTCAACGACTTTCCGTTCGGGGTTCGCATGAGACTATGCCTCTCCTGATTTTCTGTATGTTGCTCCTGTTAATTATGATACGCGTAGTAGTACTTTGTACAATGCACAAACTTGTGCATGTAATAACGTAAACGGACTTACCATTCGTTCCTTGACGATCTGTTCGATCTCCGAGAGATCGGCTGTTGTCGCGCCGCCATCGAGAATCTTCGTCGTACGTTCCGACAGACTGACTGACTGTATAAAAGAAAGCGCAAGCGGTTACACGGCGAAGAACGCAAGAAAGCGCGATCGAGTACTCTCCAAAAACCAGGTATGATCGACTACTCACTCGTTTCCCGGGCAATTCGCTCGGTATCGTGGACCCAGATGGACCATTCGCGGTAGCTACGAGTATCGGTTCGGTTATAGGTTTCATCGGTGGCGGAAGTTCCAGATCGTCGTCGGCATCTTCCCCACCATTCTGCTCCTGTAAACTCGTCACCGCCGTGTCGTCGCTCTCCGTAACGTCCGCATCCGCGTCCACGTCCACCTCGACCTCCTGCTGCTCCTCGCCCTCCTCCTCCTTGCTGACCTCCTCGCCCTCTTGCACCTCGGCCTCGGCCTCGAACGCCGCCTTGCCCGGCCGATTGTGCTCGACGCCACTCGGTAATTTAAAGCGTTTGTCCGAGCCGCTTTTCTTTAAAGACGGCCCAATCAAAGGAGGCGATGACGTCGGCGCGGCCGTATTGGTTTTCTCGACTTTACCTTGGCTAAGTTTGCGTAAAGAAGGTGGGAGCCACTTCCGTCTATAAACAGAAACGACCGTGGTACATGATTATCGTTGCACGTATGACATTTCGAGATAAGCGCAAGGCGCACTTATTAAACGACGAAGTTTCTAATTAAATGCTCACCCGCTGAAAACCCGTCTCTTGTTGCCGGGTGAATTTGTACTAGTTGACCCGCTGCCGTCGCTTCCGGTGTTCTCTGTTAATCAAAAGACCAATTGTTTAGTTTAAGACATCCCTAGAATTTCACTCCAAACTTATCTTACAGTTATCGGAATTGATAAGAGGCGAGCGCGCGATTGCGTCATCGAGCCTTTGCGCCTGTTTGCGGTTCACCGACTTCCGGCAGTTCGGTCCGGTGTCGCTCCGATTTCTGCATTTCTTCGCAGAAACCGCGCAACGATACACCGCTATTTTTTTTACAGCGTCATGTGTATTCGCGAGAAATAAGAAACCTGAACGCAAAGGCCTCAGACTGACCAGCTCTACCTCTCTCTCTTTTTTTTGCGTCCGCTTACCCGCGTCCTCCGACAGCATCGGCGACAGCACCGCGGACGACAGCGCCGCGTTCAACGAGGACGCCTGCTGCGTCGCCGGCGTCCCGCCGACGCAGCAGGTCGGCGGCAACGTGCTGGCGGTGGTCGACGACCCGACGGCAGTTTGCTGCTGCGCTTGGACGATTGCTTGATTGATCTGCTGCTGGTGGTACGGATGATGATGCGACTGCTGTTGCTGGTGATGGTGATGCGATTGTTGCGGTTGCTGTTGCTGCTGCTGCGTGGACGCTTTTCTGGACGGCGAAGTTTTGCAGGAGGCGGTCGGCGGCTGCTTCAGGGCGCTGGTGGGCACCAGACCCTCCGCGGCCGGCTCGGCCTGTCCAGGCGTGAGCGGCAGACGTACCAGGGTCCATTCGCCGGCGTTGGTCACGCTGGTGGTCCCGGTGGTCGCGCTACCGTTCTCCAACACCTCGACCTGCTGCCCTTTCGTCACGCTCAGCTCCCTCGAACCCGGCGCGGCCATATGATCGGCGACCACCCACGTCATCTCGACGACTCCGGTCTGAAAGCACGCATCGGGGATTCTCAATAGATTCCGCGGCACATTGCGCGGCGGGGTCGCGCGATTCACGGTCGACGTACGTTGGATGTTCGCGCGAATACCGGGGCAGGGAAGAAGAGGGTGAGGGGGAGAGGGTTAAGAGGGGGAGAGAGGGGGCGAATATAGAAATGGGATAATTAGCGGAGTGCGATGTGTCTGTGTGCGCGCGTGCGTGAAAGCGGCGGTGATGCGACCGCGACGGGTGGCCGGGGGCCGGGGGGGGAGGGCGGAGCGGGCAAGGGTGAAGAAGGGTGGGTGCGGGATAAACCGAAAGCAGGGAAGCAAAGCGAAGAGGAAGAGAAAGAGAGCCTGTCCTCTCGTGCTTACGCAAGCGTAGACGGGTCGATACGATCCGTCCTTCTCCGTCGCGCGACCGTGGGGCACGTTCTCGCCCTCTCGCTCCCGCCCTCTCACTCTCGCTCTCTCCCTCGTTCGCTCGCTCGCTCTGCGCGAGAGACCGATTGTCTTTGAATTTGCGGATCGACGGAGCGAGATTCTAGAGATCCGATTACTGACGCCCGGGTGATTCTGATCGTCGGATCAGTGTCACCCGGGTGTCACTCGCTCGCTCATCAGCCTCGCTCTTCATCCCTTATACGCGCGCGCGCGCGCGGCCGCCCTTCCGCGACGACGCTTTTAAATCGCACGCGGATTCCGGCGTTTTGAAAATAGCTAATGTCACGACACCGCGGTACTTTGACGTTGCTATAAATACCGCCTCGTGTGCGTGTATCATATTGACCGAGCGTGCACGTTTACCGCGTTTTCAATCAACAACACTGTCCCTCCCGCGCTCTCTCGGCTCCCTCTCTTCCTTTTCCTCTTTCGTCGCGCGCGAGAGACGCGCAATTGTTCGCCCGACGTGGGCCGACCGGAATGGTCCCGCCCGATTTTCGTACATTCCGCGATCCAAAATAGAATTTTCCACGTGCCAAGTTCTCTCCTCGCTCTCCGTCGTTAACTCGCGCCGCGCTGCGCCGCGCCGCTCCGCGCGCGGCGCGACCAAGGTGAAAAAAGAGGGAGAGAAAAAATATAGAGGCGATAAAGGAACGCGGGAAAGATTACGTTATCGCCCACGGCCGACGCTTCGAGATTCCCAGATACTCGTTCGAGGAAACTCTGCACTGTCCATCCCTCTTCGTGCGAATTCCCAGGATTTCACTCGATCGCGACGATTCGCGGATTCGAGTCTCAACGTCCGGTATCTATTTTTGTGGTTCCGAAAGAGGAGCGCGCAAAGTTTATCGAAGTTCCGTCCGTAATGAATCTCTTCTGCGAGGAGAGACACGATCTTCCAGGAAAAGATGTTTGCCGGCCGAAGGGGGATGAGTGGTCGAAGGGACGAATCCCGCGAAGGAAGAAAAAGAAAGAGGAGGCTGGATCGTCCGAGAGGATTGTCCAAGGGCTCGCGGGGTACCTGGGCCAGGGAGGGTTGACGGCGCAGAAGTCGGGCCTGGAACGAGCTCGGCGTATCGATGGTGTGCTGCCTGGAGAGGGTCACGTGCGGCGGTGCCGCGGAGCCCTGGCGGAACCACGGCAGAGAGATCTTTCGGCGCGCCTTCTGGGCGATCGTCGCCGGTTTCCCGGCCGGTGACGTCATGATAGAAAGGGGGTCTCGGAGAACCCCTCCGGGGACCCCTGCAATCGGCCCCCCTTGCGGGTTTACGGTCTTCAGACGCGCGAGCGCGACCGCGGCGCGCAGGAGGGCAGAAACGACGTGGTGGACGGCGCGCTATCGTTCACGGGGCACGTCCTGGAGCGCGCGACGACGCGCGGCGCGTCCGCCATCGTCGACAGTGCACTGGCCCGTTTTCGTTATTTTCCTTTTCTCTCTCTTGTTGTTCCTGCCTTCTTCCCACTTCTCCGTCCTCCGGCAAGAAGGTCAGGGCTTTTACCGATTCGTCCAGCTACGCGCGATCACCGGTGGGCCCTTAAGTGGATCCATCTGACCCGGGAGTCGCGCCCGTACTGATCCGTCGGCCTCCCGCGACCGTGCGGAGAGTGACGAGATTATAACTAACCCAACCCAACTCGCGCCCCACCCAACCCTGCGCGAGTACTGGCCTGCCGCGGCCTTCTCCCCGTGTCGCGTCGTGTCGCCATCCCCCTGTCGCAGGGGGGCGAGAACTCACGAAGAACCAGGTGGACTCGTATGGCACATTCGGGACCGATAACAGGCGCCGATTCGGAAGCGGATCGTTCCGAGAACGTGAGTTCTCAATTTTTACGAGCGTCGAAGGAAGTTGTTTACAATTCTGGATCTTGAAGAGGAGGTGTCGAGGTGTGTAAAGGTCGGAGGTACGAAGGGTGGGTGAGAAATGATTAGCGACCGTGCCCTTCGCATAGGATGTTCCCGTGGATCCGTAGACTCTCTGTTATTCGCGGATTACTTCGATTTTGCTTGAAAAAGAGAGATATCGAGGCAGAAATAGTTCAATAGTTTTAGATAATTAGATATTTAGAAATTTTATACTTTGCATGTCTTTAAGGCGGTCAAAGCTATTTTTACACAAGCAAATGTAATTGAGGATAAAAGAGGAATTTAATTGTGAATCGCAAAAAGCATAATTTTTTATGCTTTTGCTTTAAAATTTTTTATATAACTTGAAAGATCACTGTATACTTTTTTTATGTTATTTCCTAATACATAGTAGTAGTTAGAAAAGGTGAGATGAAGCTATTGTCATAAAAATATCATCGAAAAACGATAAGCTCAAGACGAAACAAATATTATTCGAGATTGGAGTAATGTAGTAATCTTTGATGAATCATCGTTTTGAGCATAAACTTCTAGCTTGGTCTGCAGCGAAGCAGTTCTATAAATAGTTCTTCGAGGTAAAAATGATATAGCGGTCATTACCCGTGTGCAACATGCTAAAAATTTATCAAAAAATATGCAGAACACTGCTGCACGATAATTGATAATAATAAAGACCGGATTTTATATTAGGTAAACATATAAAGGTATATCTAATGATCTCTAAAGTTATATAAAAAAATTTTGATTTCAAGGAATAAGAATTGTAGAGTAATTGTAGACTGTTCGATTTTTTCTTATCAAATAAGAAAGTAACACTGTCGTGTCAAAAATTAATTACATCACCATAAAAAGCATGCTTCTACGTCATATTTAAATAACATGTAATTTTATCGATTTAATCTTTCTCGTGCGATAGCAAAAATTGTTTACAGTTATCGTCAAACTCTATTTTTAGGTAAAAATCTGATACATCTCTTTATTGCTATATATCTCGTAAGATCTCACGAATCGTATAAAGAGCTTGATATTTAAGAATCGTACTTTACCTTATCAGAATCGGTGGTATTAGTCGAACCGAAGGAAGCCAAGGAGTTTCGGTCGAGATTCTCCACGCTCTCGTCCAAGGATGCGCATTCCTCCAGATCCCTACTGGAGCGTTGACTGGAGCTCTTTTTAGCGGGGCTCTTGGGCATATTCTTGCCCAAGAAGGTCTCCTGTATCACCTCGCGTAACCGCATCACCCACAGCTGCTTCGCGTCCATCGAGTTCGCTCGCAGCACTACGCGCGTGTCGCTAGTCGGTGCCCGTCCTGTCCACACCGCGAATTTGCATTCGTCGCCTTCGATATGCTCGGTCACGCCCAATTCGGAGGTCAACAGGCGATTTTTATAAACGTATTTCACCTTGAAAGACACGACGTGGTATTGATATATCGCTCAATAACACAACAATAACACAACTCAGAAAACAAAGTTTCCAGAAAATAAGTTTGAACGTTTTGAATCATTGAAATTTTGTAATGTTATAAATGTGATTTTTTTTTATTTAATAACTGATTATAGAGGAACAAAAGTATCTAGCTATATATTATAGCTCTTTCATTCAGTGTATTGAATTCTCGCCATTCTACTGCAAACAATTCAATGACAATTTTTTAGTTATGTCGTTGTTGTAGCAAATGAGCGACACGATAAATTTTATTTAACGCTAAAGACACAAAGCTGTTGCGTGCAGCTTACCTTTCCTGCGGAATCCTTCACTTCCTTTGTAAAGAGAAGATACAATTCGAAAAGAAATATGTGACGATCTCTTCCTTTCCTGATCAACTGTTTTGGGTCCCATACTGTGAATGAATCTTGTAACACAACATCACCGAGCGCATCTATACTAACGTCGCAACCTTCCAGTAGACTTAAGTGTAAGGCATCGTTAGCTTTTTTAGGCACATTTAACATCACTTCTAATCCCTCTTTTATTTCGCCCTGTCCCTCTTGGCAACAAGCCTGGAAAAAAAAACGAGGATAATATGTACTCGATCGATTTAAAATTAACATCGCAAGCTTGTGAGATGTACGTGTAATACTGAATACCTGCAAGTCCTTAAGTAGCAGCTGATACTTAGTAATTCTCTGAACCGGCTTGATTAGATACGCAGCGATAGGATGTTCTACTCTATGCTTTCTCTGCAATTCCTCAAACCACGTTCCACTGTGCGTTATTAATAGTTGATTGCTCTCGGGTTTATTCTTACAGTAAGTTACATACATGTCAAATTTAGGTGCCTGGAATGAAACGAATGTTGCAACGATATATACGTAAAATTGCGGCTCCTAATATTGATTTAATACCCGTATAGTACTCACCCACACTACAAAACAATGTCCCACATCCTCCGGCATGGTTTCGTACTTTTCTAGCTCGCGTAGAAATACATTGCTGTGAAACTGATGTATCTCCTCTATGTTGCTAAAAATGATCGATTCCCGACTGTGTAAACCCGGTGGAACGTTTCCCTTTCCGCATCGTGTCTCGTCCAGGAAGCAACGGATGCAGGTTTCCAAGTCTTTTACGTACGTACGTTCGGTTTGCAAAAGTTCAGCCATAATGAACTCTTTCCTTCGTGCAGATCTTCTCTTCTCCTCGTTCAGTTCCTTCAGATCTTTACCCTTGATCTTCTCTTCCAGCAACGGATCCGAATTCCGGTCGATAGACAGATCTCTGTGCAGACCCTCGTCGGGCTGGATACCCAGATCGCCTTCGATTTGCGTTTTGTAGCAGTCCATTCGCGCGCTGAAATCCTTGTATCGCTGATCGACCTCGGCAACGGCCTGCTTGATCGCCGCGGCATGAGCGTGACCCCTCTCGACTAAATTGTCAGCGAGTTGAATCAACAATTTCACTCTTTCTCTCGTCTCCTTCGCTGCACCTTTGAACTCGATGTGCTCTTGCAACAGTTGTTCGTTCTCGATGCGATTCTTCCCGACGTTGGTATGGGTCGCTAAATACAATTCACCGGTTTCCTTTATCCATTCGAGAGCCTGCTTCGCACTACGTTCGAACAGAACATACTGATGGCATTGATCTAAACGTTTCTTTCGCTGCGTCCAGTATTCGAGCACTTTGTTCTCCTTACCGACTAACTCCTCCAAAATATTTTTGACTTTATTCGCGGAACCGGCGCTATTGGCGTGATAGCTATAAAATTGCAAACTACGATTGATGTACTTTAAGAACGTTTCACCGGTTCGTCGTACCAGCGTGCACGCCTTCAGAAAGGCCTCTTTTTGCTCCTGATGTCTGGTAATGTTCGCCGGTATGCCGCCAGCCTTTTCTCCGTCGGCACACCAATCGTCGTCCACATTGTATTGCAATTCTAAACTGTCGAGAACCGAACGTACCGAGTCCACCGTTTTGTAAAAGTTTAAACTGGCAGTAATTAATTTATGTCGTTCTTCCGCACAGGTCACTAGCTGCTGCCAACGTTTGGTAACATCCTCCGCGACCTCCCTGATACTTTTGGGATCGTAATGATTCCCGCTTATCAGAGCGTCCGCTTTGTGTTTCACTTGCACGGCGGATGCGTGAGTGTTGGTTATCGCGAGTTGAAAATGATAGTGTTCCTTCCCTAATTGGTCGGCGTCTTCGAAATCGTCCGGTATCCTGAGTGAGGCCAGTAATATCGACTCGCCATTTCGTATCCACTTAATCACATGAGAAGCGTCTGTTTGCAGTTGCAGTAATTGAGACGCTTGCTCCAGCCGTACCCTTCGCATTTCCGCGAGGTCCTCCGCGTCTAACTCTCTCTCGTTCAGAAACTCGAGAAGCACTTGCACCCGCGCCGCCGCGCTATGTTGACCGTCCGCCATAATACACACCCCCGCTTCCTCCAAGACTTGCGCCAATTCTTGACCACGATGCAGAATTTGAAAAGCGGTATTCTGCATGTGGGCGACTCCGTCGTTGTGCACGCGCAGCAACTGCTCGGGTGAACCCTCTCGCGGTGGTCCCTGCAGCTCCTGCGCCCACATCTCCAGCTGGCCACTAGCCTCCAGCGCGTCGCGCTCGAAGACGCGTAATCGCAGGCACAGTTCTAGTCTCAGCTTCTTGGTGGCCCACAGGTCTTCCAATTCTTGTCTCAAGCTTGCCAATCTGTCCAAGGCCGACTCCACCGCCGATATTGAGCCGGTTGTGTCGGGCGCATCGGTTGCCTCGCGGAGTTCTTGCAACAGAGCTTCGCCCTGGGCTATTGTCGAAGCACACGCCTCGAGACAGGACGATCTGTGCTGCGCGCATTGTTCCAACAGTCTTTCCGCTGTCTCCAGGTTTTCCGCAACCTCATCCTGCTGCAATTCCTGACGTAACTCGTCTACCCAACCGGTAAGCTGTGAAACAAAACCACATTGAAAATAACACCGTACGTGCACGCATACGCAGACATAAAAATATCTGCGCGTTTTACAGATTATCGTTTGACGTAAATAATAAATTTGTATAAAAATACCTCTTTTTCGTGAGTATAAAACACTACTGCCAAATCTAATCTACGACGCCGTTGCTCGACCCTCGCTGCGAAGCTACTAACGTGAGCCTCCAACTCTTGTGCCACTGCATATATTTCGTCAGCCGCACATTCCCCCGTGTGAGCAAGTTCTTCAGCGGCGGTCAAAAGTTTCGTCGCATTTGTGTAAGTGTTCTGCAAACGAAAAAAGCGTTAAGTACATTCATAAAAACATATAACCATGTGTAAAGTAACAGATTATATATTAAATGTATATATTTAAAAAATCACCTGAGCAACATTTTCAAAATGTTCGTGGCTTTTTTGATAGACGCGTGCTTTCTGCAGATTACGACCTACGCCTGTGTTTTTCCTAATGAAGACTTCGCCGTGGTTCGTCAGCCAGTCGAGAACTTGTTTCACATCTTCTTGAAATAATCTGGAAATCATAATTGCGTGCGTTAATATCGATACAACAGTACGCGAGCTTTGTTACTTTCGTACTTTAATGCGAGCCGTTGATGCAACTTGACTTTGCGAGCGTGCCAACGGGCTTCTAATGCTCTATGATGACCGAGAATCTGATGAATGACGGCTAATACGTGAGATGCACCTTCGCTGTAATCAGCTGCTGGATTACCACTCGTGCCGGTATGACTGTCAATGCTGTGTCCATCTTGGCTCTGTATAAATCAGATATCAAAACGTGAATTAACGATACGGAAATCGGTCTGAAAGATAAATTATTAGTTAATTGAACAATGCTGCATGCATCCCGATCAGTATCATTAGATATCGTTATTTTAATGAGCTTTTTATACAAAGTTATATATAATATCATTACAGCACAAGCAAGCATGTTTCTCTATATTATTCTTATTCCCTCTGAATAGCATGTACAGAATAATCCCTCCTTTTTATCCCATGCAAAGAACAGTTGGAAAAAAAGGATGATGAAAGCACTTACTATCTCGCTCAATTATAAACATTTTTTTGAAAAGCTTAATACATATAAATTAAGCTTTGTCTTCTAAAAAAAATTAAACACAGGGATGTAATCACGAAGAAGGCTTTGACAAAAAGGAAAAACAACAATAATGGTTCCTTTAAACACCAATTAACGTACATGTTTTCTGGCGACATGGTCAATTCCTTGCGGTTGATTACAGACTTGCACAAGATGATCCAGTTGGTAAAGAAGCTTCTTACTGGTACTATGCACCTAAATAAGAATTTTACCCAATCCCGCTTAAGAATTCGTATATACAACGTTCATTTCGAATATATAGCTTTATATGTATGATGGGATAACTAACGTAAATTTAACTTTGAATCAAAGTCGAGAAAACAACAATAGGATGACGAATACTGGTAAAGTAACAAATATCGGTAACGGACAAATAAACGTGCGACTATACAAAAAAAATCTGTTCGAGAATACTGAGACGCCTGGGTTATAAGGAAATTACTTTAAATGTTAATCGTTGGCAGAAAATTTGCGGATAGATATTTCCAATAGCACCCAAGTACCAAGCGAGCAACGGATTCCATCGCCAAAAAGCTTTTAAAAATTGAATTTCTCGTACATAATCGACGCGAAATGTATCCGACCCTGTAGAATGGGCGCTCACATTATGACATACTTGCAGCATTGAACCCAGGCCGCTCAATAACGCTTGATATGCATTGTAAACCTGTTAAATATCAGATATACTTACAGTGTAAATGAAAAGAAATGTATGAAGAAATGAAAGTCGGATTGATTTACAATAACGCAAAAACAATAATTGTCCATTCCAAACATATCACGATGAAATCGGTCGTGTTGAATGATGGTAAAGCTTATATTGCTACGAATAGGACAAAATTTACCTCCGTATACGCCTGACACATGGCTTCGTAAAGAGTCTGATGTTGGCGAATGTGAGTTTCAAGCGCTGGAATTTCACTGGGCAGATTACTAATCTCGCACGCTTGACTCCAACCAGCCACGTTATCGACATACTGTTCCGCTTTATGGTGAAATACTACACTTAAACTAAGTACTGCGGTACGTTCGTCGAGACCCGCGGCGAACTCCTTCCAAGCACGATCCAGACGTCCCGCCACCGCTCGCACGTGCCCAGCCGCGTAATGCTGCGTCTCCAGCAATTTGCCAGCCATCGTGAGGATCTTATTTATGTTCACGTAAACGTTCATCGAGCTCATTGTAAAATGTTTGTGTTCCTCCTGCAGATTCTTGGCCAATTGATACGAGCGGCCGATCTCCACGTAGCTGGCGAGAAACGCCTCTCGGTTGTGACAAATCCAATCGAACATCTTCTCGCAATCCTGTTCGAACAGTCGCAGCTGAAAGCACTGATCCAATTTCATCTTCTTGATGTGCCACAGTTGTAACAGATGCTGTTGCGCGGCATGCACGGAATCCAAATGCTGAATAACCAGGGTGGCCAGGGCTCGTCCGTCGGAGTCTGTGCAACTTGCCGCGCCATTGTCAATACTTCCTCCTTCCCCGCCGGTTGCCGTTGCACCTGGAAACACGTTTACACGCATTTACAATACGTTTACATTATATAATAAAGAAATTTTAACGTTAGACAAGTGTTAGCTAACTATTGTTAAATCGCTGAAGCAGGCGTTGCCCAACAACTTCGATATCCTCCACCGGGACTTTCATGATTTTCTTTTTCATCTCGTTATGCAGATCAATTCCGTGCTTAGCTCCCGCAACATCGTCAGCAAAGTCATTTCGACTGAGATCCTCTTGCAAGTCGTCCAATCGATCGAGAAGATCCGCCGCCTGCCACGTAAAATCCTCTACAACTAATCTGGTATCGATCCATTGAGCATGATCGTATTGCAAGGATCCATCTAAATCTGCCGTGAGCTGAGAAGGATCTATAACTTTTACAAGAGCCTCTAAGCTGATTGTATTAATCTGAAATTAATGTATTTCACAGATTGATAACTTTGCAAACATCTAAGTTAGTCCAAGCGTAATTAGAATTAGATACAAACATAAATTTCTAATCCACTCACCTCAAAATTATATTTCTTCTGCTTACCCAACGAGGTCCTCTGTTTCTGCCAAAAGTTCTCCGGTTTAATAAGAAAAGCTACGTGAACTGTACGATGAAAATGCTCGTGTAACACCTGAGGATATTAATGCAGATTAAATGTTGTGCAAGCGGGCAAGCGACATTTAAGCGAGAACATCGAGAAAAGGGTGTAACCTTCAAAATAGGTTTGACCGAGTCCCACGTTGTACCACGCATATCCACAATCACGGTGAACCGCAGACCCCTGGCCTCATCGCTCGGAATGGCTAACAGATACTGCAGGAGACGTCTGTAATCCTCGGGTTTCGCCCGCTCGCGCCTCGGCGTGCTCGGAAACAGGAGCACAGGTCCCCCCCTGCGATCCCGTCCGCCCGGTAGTATTGCCAAACGTTCTTGCAGCAACGGCAATACCTCTGCCGCTCGTGTACCATCCATCATCCTCGCTTTTCATTAAATGATCATGATCTGCTTCCGTCAAGAGACAAAACAGACAGACAGTTTGTGAGACAGGCTCCCCATCATCATCCTCGTAACGTACGATGCAACAATCGCATTGCAAATTAAGAGTATCACATGGACAAATTGATCAATAAGGCAAGACAACGGCCACGTTCAGTGGGACGTTTATTTTGCAACTGTTGGAAGTTTTCTGAGCCCAAATTGGATTATTCCTCTGGATCTAAAGAATAATCCAATCTGAGCTCGGAAAACGTCCAAAGGTTGTAAAATAAACGTTCTGCTGAACGTGGCCAATGTGAAAATGTTGTAATTGTTTTTAAACAATTTTAAATTTACA